TTCTCGGGTTTGGCAACGTTTTTTTGCGCACGACTTTCGGCGTCTTTCCGTTGATATTCCTTGTTGATGGCATCCTTGGAGGAAAGGAGTTGAGAGAGTGTCGAAGCTAGGTCAATGATAAAGTTCCCAGTGTCTTCTTGGAAGTCGGCAAAATCGGTCCTGAATTTCTCATGGGATGCGACAATAAAATCGCATAAATCTTTGCGAGCAAGATCGCCCGATAGGAGCGTGCTGCCGTAGATAATCCGAATCGTATCTGCCAGAGAGCCACTCGTTGCGTAGGGCGAACTACCATACTCTTTCAGAAAAGGTCCAAAAGCATCCTTCATTTGAACACGGGCATAATCTTGTAGGTCCATAACAAGATAACGCTGGGCGAATGAGTAGACTTTCGCGTGTAGAACTATAGCATCCCCCGTGTAGCTTCGAGAAGTCAGTGAGGAGCCGGATGTAGCATCTGTAAAAGCAATTAATAGGTTAATAGTAGAGTTATTGAAAAGTAGGTAGACTCACCGTGTTCAGTAGATGATTTTGTTGGTTCTTGTAGCACTGAATTTTTCTTGCTTGAATGCAATTCCCATGGGGCAGTATATTTCTGGGAATAGCAAAATTCCAGGACACAACTGATAGTTTCTTCATCGAAATCAGACCAGTCCAATAAGTCTTGTCCGGCAAACTTCCATGCCCCAGTCACCCTAGCGGTCAACGCAGATTTGCCTTGGATCAGAGCACCGGGGTGGACATAGAAAATGGTTTTGCGTTCCCCTACAACAGCCTTCAACGGGCTTTCCATGTAAATGCTTTTCGGCCATTAGTGATTGAACGGGGAAACAGAAGAAATGGATTTAGTTCAGTACCTCTGAGCTGATCTCTCTCCTACTGAGCTCATGATGGATGGGATGTAGAGCCGCAACAAAGACGGAGGACTTGAGATGGTCGGTGGCAGAAAGAATGGGAAGAGGGAGGTAATAATGTCACGAGAAGTGAAGTTTGATGGAAAATCAGGCTAAGGTGAGAAGAACCTGCAGCAAACTCGTGATGAGCCCAATAATAAGACTATAAGGAATCATAGAAAGAGGGGATTGATACAGCCACCCCCCAGTACCGCCTTCATAATTCAGTTAGGCTATTTCTTCCTACCGCCCTCCTCACCGCCCTTCAATTTATATAGCCCCCGTAGACCAGAAAGATCTTGTGTATGACAATTGCTACCAAGGCGAGAGAAAAAAAGGTATCTCTAATATTGAGATATCAAGGCACTATTCCACCACGAAAGAAGAAATAATTCTGCTGTTTAATCGGCAGCGTGTAGTAACCTCTTCTCCACTCAGCAAGGTAACCGTCTTTCTTCTCACATGTCTTTTGCAGGTCAGCCTTGGAGGACTGAAGGAGAGTAAGCTGAGCCGAAAGTTCGCAAGCTAGTTCAGTCATAAAGTCCCCAGTTTCTTTTTGAAATTGGGGAAGGTAATGAGCGAACTTCTCGTGTGATGAGGCAATAAAGCTGCGAAGCGCAATGCGAGCAGCATCAATGTTAGTATCTGACGAGAGCGTGCAGCTATAGATGATCCGAACCGCCTCCACTAGACAGAGATTGGTTGCTTGGGGCGAAGAGCTGTATTCTTCTAGACAAGGCTCGAAGCAGTCCTTCATCTGAGTCACGGCAAAGCTTTGTAGCTCATCGATGAGATAATGCTGGGCGAATGAGTAGACCTTAGCATGTAGCACTATAGCATCCCCTGTGTAGCTTCGGGTGGCAAGTGGGGAACCAGACTCAGTATCTAGGTGAAAAGAAGCAATAAGCAAGCTGAGCTCTTGGGCCTTCGAACCCTAATCAGCTTACCTTCCTTAGCGTCTAGTTCAGTCAACACTAGCTCTGGCTCTGGATTCCCCGTGTTCATAGCCGACTGCCGTGGGACATCGTATTGCCGACCGTAAAAGAATCTCAGAACGCAATCAATGGTTTCTTCATCAAAATAAGACCAGTCCAATGTTTCCTCTCCGGCGTTCTTCCATGGCCCAGTCACCCTGGCAGTCAACGCAGATGTACCCTGTATCAAAGCACCGGGCTGGACATGGAAAATGGTTTTGTTTTTGCCAACAACGGCCTTGATTGGGTCTTGCATGAATATACTTTTCGGTTATCAGTAATAGAATAGCAGTGGAAATGAGATATGGCGGTACCTTTCAAACGTGGTCCCTTCTACCGAGCCCATGATGAATGCCACTCGGATTTTCTTCAGTTAGATATGCTTGTGGTTGACGAAGAAAGCCAGGAGGGTCCATGTAGATAATAAGGAAGAGGAGGCGCTAATGGAACCATGATAGAAAGATGACCGTGACAACCACATGGCAAACATATATCAACTATACGATTGATGCACCCATGGAACCTCACAGAATGATGATGTTTGGATGCATGGCTGCTATAATGGGCGTCCTTTGTCAGGTCAGTTTCACGTTAGTTTGACCCTGGTTTGTGTATGATCCTCGCCCCCAACTAAATAAGTGACCAAAGACACCTGAAATATGCAAATTAAAAGGAACTGGATAAAGATGCCAAAGGGTCAGAGGTCAGGGGTCAAAGAGAGGTACCTAGAACTTGTAAATAGAAAAAGAAAACCTCAATCCCGCTCCTACAACTCGGCCCGGGCTCCTCAATTCGATATCCGTCCAGAAAAGCCGTACGAGGAACGTTCCCGAACTCCTATGCCGGTAGGCCGTGGGTCCAAATATAGGCTTGAGGCTAGTGGAGTTCCCGACGTGCCGAGAACCCTTTCCACGGAATGAAGTGGGAGTGATGATGCGCTTTTAGGGTCGAGCTAGGCATGGAGTGGATTCCGCGGAAGACATACCTACATTTCTAGAATTGGAAGGGTTAGAACAATAGCGCTGGTCGATGTTGTTTACAAGGAAGTGACGGAGTTTGTTGTGGATGGCGGTTTCCGAGACTGTGATTTCTTTTTTGTCGTAGAATAATGCAGATAGCTGAATATGTTCATTGACATGGAGAGGTCCGTGGCTAAGCGCATGAATTGTTTGGCGGTATTTCGTCTTCGTTGTCAGGACTTAATTTAAACCGGACCTCGGTCTCTGAGAGATGCAACGATTGAAACATGGGGCGGGTCGTAGGTCGTACACTATTACTCCGTACCGAATGTTGAGATCCGATACTAGGTGTCTTTTGCGCATTCACTGTTAGCTTAGTCTCCCTTCGCTTCGCGAACCTTTCAACCCTGCCAATTCGCACAGAAAAAAAAACGCCGTCTATTTTCCGTGCCATATTGCCATATTGAGAACAAGTATCCATGCACGCGCATTGTTCGGGAAACAGACCTCCGCTGACTCTGACCGACTTGCTCGGTCCTTTCGAAACGATGTTGAAAGTTGACGACTTATATCCGTAATCGTCACAAAGGACCAATACCATGAAGCAGATGCAACACAGAGACGGTGTGAGAATCCACCCCAGAAGCTTACTGTCATATTTATTGCCGGTAATCGGCGGAAAAGAGCCAGAGACAGGCCAAACCGGAGGAATCTGTGATGACTAGCTCTGTCAACACAACAATAAGTAGCGGGAGCCGCAGGTCCACACAGGAAAAAGGGGGATCATTTCGAATCTCAATGGATGAGATTGGTCGGCGGCCAGGGGCAGGTTGCAAGGACGGGGCCCACCACAGCGTCAGCGAAATGATGGTCGGCCGATTGGACTGCCGAACATAGTCGGATCATGGCCCGAGGGTAGCGGCAAAACATTAATGAGGTGGAATAGCCGGTCAGATTGGATTCTAGGCACTGTGACTTTGCCAGGGCCCTCGATAATTAAAACCGAGTCCGATATACGGCTAATCCGTGCGTATTGAGTCCAATGTTCGTAGAGTTGATCCCGGGAGATTGTACTTGGAATAACGTGAGGCCTGCGTTTTTGAACAGGGTATATACCGAACATTAGCAGGATGTGTAGGTGTAAGTAATTCGATCCCCGAGATATGCCCGGAGAGGTTGTCTAAGCGGTGTCGGGTCTATCTGTATGGACGGGATCCCGATAAGTTCTCGTGGGGAATCCAAAAGCGGCTTAGCGTTGGTGGGGATTCCGGATTTAGCTCGTACTCGTACTAATATATATCTGCCTCGTTGATGTGGTTGTAGGGCTTCGAGGGGGATGAATGGAATATTGATAGTCTGTTCTATGTTAGGGCAGTATTGAACACGGCTCTGGCATATTTTATACACTCTCTTGACATAGATATAAGTAGTAAATGGCTCGTTTGGAGAATTCAGGATCGTCCATCGACCCCCCGCATTTTGACAAGCTCCATAGCATGTCCACATTCGTGCATGGTTAATCGAAATCATGTAGATATCATTCGTCCAACACGCAAATCCTTGTGTGGAGAGGCCTGGTTCTGGCGACTTTCGCTCCATACGGTCCAACAAATGCCAGACTTTATTTCCGTCTATTGTCTCTCATCCCATACATCCTGAGCGGGGAATCCGCGGATAGCCATCGGTTGAGGGTCGGTTGAGGGGTCGGTTGAAGGGCAATAACCTCCGGTTCGGAACGAGTTTGCGGCTGTGTAGATTGACTTGGACATTTGAGCATATTAGAACAAGCATAGGCCCCCATTGTCCCGGTTTGACCTTGTATAGTTGTACCAGAGTACTCGACTCAACACGACATAACCACCCCGCACCTTCTCTGTCTTGTGACTTTTCTTGTGTCTCCCCTCATATTCTCTATTGCTCTCTGTTCTCTGTTCTTTGCTTTCAAATATTGACCCCGTCGACACCTCCTGTCCTAAATCTCATATAAAAGCAACACTACGTCATCGGTAAGTACCATGGTCCAAGACCGTGGACAGTCCCCGTGGCTTCCAAATCCACCAAAGAGAGGATCCTGCTAGTCTCCTGCAAAGGGCATCTCCCGTGCTTCTTGACATTCTCCTATACATCGTGCATTGTATTGACCTGCATCTACAGTAGGACCTGAATACTTCACTATGGCATCCACTCTCAAGGATAGGGCCGCCAACCATGTTGCTGCTTCTGCGGAAAATGGCACTGAACCCGAAGCTCCTCCCGACCTCCTGCACCAGCCGTACGTCCGCGCCGTCCTACCCTTCATCAACGGCGGACTGTCCGGTATGACCGCCACAGCCGTGATTCAACCCGTCGATATGGTCAAAGTGCGCCTGCAGCTCGCTGGCGAAGGAGCCCGCACTGGTCCTCGCCCATCCGCCCTCGGCATCACTCGCGAAATCATTGCCTCCGGGAGAGTCCTCGATCTCTATACTGGTTTGTCCGCCGGTATCCTCCGCCAAGCCGTCTACACTACTGCACGCCTGGGATTATTCGAAACATTTATCAAGAAGCTCAATGCCCGCGCCAAAGCCGCAGACCGGAACGTAACCTTCGCCGAGCGTGCTGCGGCAGGACTGACGGCCGGTGGAGTTGCCGCCATGATTGGAAACCCGGCCGACTTGTCCCTCGTGCGCATGCAGTCCGACGGCCTCAAGGCCCCCGAGGCTCGTGCTAACTACCGTTCTGTCTTTGATGCCCTCGCTCGTATCACCCGCACCGAAGGAATCGGTGCGTTGTGGGCTGGTGCTTCTCCTACGGTTGTCCGTGCTATGGCCCTCAACATGGGACAATTGACTTTCTTCGCCGAGGCTAAGCAGCAGCTTAAGCAGCATACTTCCCTCTCTGCTCAGAATCAAACTTTTGCTGCTTCTGGAATTGCTGGCTTCTTTGCTAGTTTCTTGTCTCTGCCTTTCGATTTCATCAAGACCCGTCTTCAGAAGCAACAGAAGGACCCCAAGACTGGCTTGGTTCCTTACAAGGGCTTGGTGGATTGTGCGCGCAAGGTTGCCAAGGAAGAGGGTTGGTTGCGTTTCTACCGTGGCTTCGGAACATACTATATCCGGATTGCTCCTCATGCGTCAGTCCCCCACTATTTTACCCCAACTTTTCTCCCCACTGACTCGATCTACAGAATGGTTACCCTCATCGTGGCTGATTATCTCAACCTCCTCACCAAGTAAACTTGCTTTGAAAGCCTGGATTATCGGTCTTCGTTCTTTTACATTGCTCTCCGATTACACGATATCGCATCGACACGCTCAGTTATGCGATTTAATACTCTCAGCACGCCACCAGGTCTATCAATAGACCCAATCTGCTATTTTTAATATCCATGGGAAGCGCAGCGTCCGGGGGAAGACAGCCAATTCAACTCCGAGACACTTTATACTCCGTTTGGCCGGTGTGCATCGCACAAACCTATAATGGCAAATTACCCATGGTAGATGTGGTTCGACATTCGGAAAACATGGTACCGGCGAAGGGCTATTGCCACATACAGTTTATTTTTCTTTGGGAAGAGAAAATGTCGGAGGATACGCGGCCGGCCGGTCTTGTCCGCGGAAAGCCACGACAAGAGAATGCAAAACATAGTCTTTGTCACGCCTTTGCTCGTTTTCATGTTGGTCTGCTTTTGTTGTGTTTCGACAAGCGAATACCCTCTTGTCTTGCTCTGTTCTTTGCCTCTATACCGCTACCATACTTTATGTTGGTCTTGGTCTGCTTTAGGTATGCTGGTTAGGTAGTATTAGTATCCTCAACGGATATAGTGTTTACTTGCCTATTTCTCTCGTTCCATTTTCTCCGATAGTAAAACATTCCAAGATCTCTTTGTCCTAGATATGGAGTAGTGTGTGAGCCTTTGCAATGACTTTGAACATTTGAAGTTTCGAGTTTCCGGTGATGACTTTCATATTTCCTAAATTATTGTAGTTAAGAACAGGTAAGTTGTCCCATTGTGTATGTGAATGTATTCCATTCTAACGCCGAAGCAGAAGGCAGGTCCTACAGAATAAAAACAAAGAAGAGATAGACATCCCATCGTGAAAGTGAAACTATTCACCATTAAAACCGACATCGTAAAAATAGAGGCCCAAAATGCACCACCGGCAATAGGCAAGCCAGATGGCCGTGGGGAATCACAAGGGTACAACGTGAAAAGGAATAAAACAGAAGATTTGTTCAAGGTCCAAACCTGAGACTCGGGACCAGATCCAACACAGCCCGTCGTTAAAAAAACAAAAAGAGAAAAGATCGCATCCAGTCCACTTCTCTTCGAGTCCATATTAGTTCCGATTAGATCTTCTCCTCGCCAACACGCTTTGACACAACAGCGCCAAGCGGTAGCACGTCCTCAAGCGTCTCGTCAGTGCCCTGAATATCCTCTTCCACGGGAACAGAGTCCTTGATCTTGAAAAAGACAACAGGGACGGCAATGAGGATCGAGCCGCACAGAAGACCGAAGTTTGAGGCATATTCGTTCATATACGGCAGCTTCTTCTCATCCAACGACCACATAACGGCCGCGCCGGCGGATTGAAGACCCTTGTAGAAGCCTGCCAAGTTGGCGAGCTTGCGACCGGAGTTACCGAGGGCGCCCATGATCCTAGAAGAGACAATGTCAGTCACGATATCAGGGGAAAAGAGGGAGGGAACCTTACCAGTAGACAACACCCTGCCAGGCAGCATCGTACATGCCGTAGAAGAAGTAAAGGAACATAGGACCAACGTAGCCCTTGGTAGTCCAATCCCAGCCCTGGAAACCTGTGATTTTGGCGTCCACATCCTCACGGGTGTACCTCCTCTGCCAGGCGTACCCACTACCCCAAATAACGACCGTGAGGATGAAAAGGCCGACCAAGGCTGCCCTAGCACGAATAGTACGACGGACGCGCTCCGAATCAAGCAGAGGGCCCATGATACAGGCGGCCACGATCTGCGCAAACCAGTACAGGAAGCCGTTCAGGGCCTTGGTGCGCGTGTTGAAGTAGGCGCCGTTGATAGAGTTCTGCTGGTATGTGTAGAACCAGTTGGAGGACCAGAACATGGGGAACAGGAGGACGATCCACGGCTCCGAGCGGACTGTCTCCCACAGGCCGACGATCTCGGACTTCCAAGAGGGATGCTTCATAAGGATGACGCGCGAGCCGTCGGTACGCACAACCTTGTCTGCATCACAGATGAACAGAGCAAGACAGGCGCCTGCGAACATGAGTACGATAAAGGCGATGTAGGTACCGTCGCCGACAGTCTTGTTCGACGTGACGTGGATGTTTTGGCCCAGGGGAATCTTTAGATTGACATTGTTAGTTGTTGTTGATGGATGGTATAGCCAATTGCAAGTATAGGGCTAGGTATCAGGGGCTGGGCTGGTCTTACCAAGCTACCGATACAGGCGCCGATGTTGAAGATAGCCCAGAACCAGGCGAAGTAACGGCCCTTCTGCTGCTCAGTCGGGTAGGACATCATGATGGTGCCCTGGGCGCCCCAGAGCAGACCTGCGCAGACACCGAGGAAGGCGCCGGCGAAGATGTTGAAACCGGGGACATATCGATGCTCGGAGACCAGGAGACTAATGGAGTAAATGCAGTAACCGATTCCACCGAAGGAGAGAGAAAGACGGACGCCGAGACGGTTGACGACGGTTCCGGCAAAGAAGCCCACGACGGCGAAGGTACTGTTCAGGGCGATGTTCTGTTGTTGTTAGATTGTGCATATAGAACGCGACCCAATCGGAGTTTCGGAGTATCAAATGGGAAGAGTGGAGACGAGATAGAGAACAAGTGCCGAGGTCCAATCATACCATTTTGTCAGCCAAGCTTGGGTCGGACTTGCCACCACCGCCCATCCCGCTCAAGGCGTTAAACATGCCTGGGCAGAGGAAGCAGACAAAGGCGACCATGCCTAACTGGATGCGTGGCGAGGCATACCAGCCGGTTGAGAACTTGCCGATCTTCCCAGACTTGTACATCCATCCCGCGGGTCGGGGTATGTATTCAGGTTCGGAGGAAGATTCGACGGGAGTCTTCCGTTCATCCATTATGAATGAAGACGGAGTGATGCCGCAGAAGAATAGACGATAAAAGGTGGATGTAGAGAATATTAAAAGGTGTGTGTGGTGATGAGGAGAGAAGATCAACAGGAAGACATGGGATTCTTTAAAACAAAAAAAATCATAAGATAGCCAGCTTGTACGATGTACCCCTAACACTCGAAGACAGGTATAGGTACTGAGTCCAGATTACAATGCAGAGATAGATGTATCAACAGCCAAAATAGTGTATGTTGCAGGGTAGCATTGGGTTTGGTCACGGGCTGGAGCTAGCTTTATGTGGCTGGCCTTAGGGAAAAGGATAGGCTTAGATATTGGTGGTAGATACAATTGGACAGGGGTTCTTATTTGCGGGGAGCTTAAGTAGGTGATTGGGGGCCAGGACGCTTTGATAGTAGTGTTACACCGGGATGGCACTGTGTCTTTGCTCTGGCTGGCCCTGGGAATAACTGGGGAAAGAGATGTAGTATTTGTAGGTCAGCGACGTTACGACGGGGGCTAATATAGAGTTAGCGAGGATTAGAGTCACATCCCGTGGGCAAAAGGGAAAATCCCAACTTGGCAGACTATCGCGAGACTTATCGTATAAGCGATTAAGGAGAAGGAAGGGACGGGTGCTGATTGGTTGGCTGGGGACCCACAGGCGAGTCCGTTGGTTCAACTGCGGGGAGAGGCCAGAAGGGGACTAGCGCAATCATTCTTGTTTCGGAATTTTGGCACATTTTTGACACATTTTTGACACATTTTTGACACATTTTTGACACCTGACAGTCACCACGTTTCTCGATCTATAGTTAGTCCAGGTATAAATCGGATGGAGAGTTTATTTGCAGAGATACAGTCAACTTGTAGGATTAGGATCAACTGAAATTAAATTCCGGAACTTTGGTCTGAAACGTTTCATTTTCGGCCATAACCGAAGGGAACTTCATTTAAAAATGTGAAAACGTAAAAGCATATCAGTCGCTGTCTTGGCTTTCATCCTCGGACCCCCTCTCGATCTTGGGTTGAATATCACTATCACTGTCTTCACTGTCTTCACTGTCGCTTTCGCTGTCCTCGCTATCACTATCCTCACTAACCTCCTTATCCTGCGCTTTCTCATTCGGCACATCCGCTTGCACATCTTTCTGAGCGTCCACATCCCCATTCTTCTCTTGGTTCTGCTCTTCCTCGTCTGCTTCTTCATTCTCTCCTTCTGCATTCTCCACATTCTCCGTATCCTCGATCTCCGCATCACTCTCCGCGTCGCTGCTTGACCCGTTGTCGGATTCAACGGCCCGAGCAGCCTGACTGAGCGGCTCCTGTTTGACCCGCTGTGAGGCTTGGTGAGCATCCACATCCACATCCATAGCATCGTCATCGCTTTCCGCGTCACTACCCAACGTAATGCCGGTACTTCGATCCTTCCGCTTTCTCCCATCGCCTTCAAGGTGATCGTCTTCATCTTCGCGCTGCTGGAGCTCTTGGGCACGGCGAACCCGTCGTAGTAGAACAGGATCTGGCCGCAAATCATCCGCAGTTAACGGAGTAGAACAAACAGGACATTTGACCACACGGACGCGGTGCTGGCCCCGACGAGATGCCGGGGGCGCAATAGTCGTCTGGCTGCGGCTGATCATGTCCATAATGGCCTCCCGCTCGAAGCTGTGCGGACATTTGGTGCTCTTCACAGGATCCTGGTAAAGTGTGAGAGTCAATGGGCATTTGAGGGAGATGCGCTCGCGCTCAATGGCAATGTCATCGTCGGAGCCGGCGGGCGAGACGCCACGGTTCTGGTTTCGCGTACGTGTCGATGCCCCCGATCGCACATTCCTATCTTCCATGTGCTCAAACCATGTAGAGGAGTGTGGCAACGGCGGGACGTCGTCGCCGGGGAACTTGGAGTCGTGGACCATCCGGTAGAAGCCAATGTAGTTGTTATTGCTGGCATACCTAGATCGTAGTTGTCAGTATCTGAGCCGTCGGATAAAACAGCCACAAACATGGCTAGGAATAATCTCATACCTCTCTGTCAAAGACAGCTCCTCCCACTTCTGGACTCCCTCCGTCAACTTATCGACCAGCTTGCGACTAGGCGGGTTCTGTGCATTGCGCTCCCGCATCTCCCTCTCCAGCGCATCTTCAGAATTACCATCGTTGGGATCCTCAGTCTCATCGTCATCATCGTCATCATTGGCTCTCTGCCTTGCCCGCTGTTGACGGGTCTGTCTCACCCCCAAAGCAGCAGCGACATTCTCACCCTCCTCCCTTTCAATTTGACCCAGCACATCGGTTAACCCCTGGAGCTTGATTTCAGAATCGACAATCAGTCGTGTCTTCTCCTCCATCCGCGCAGTAATAGCACCGACTCGAGCCTCTGCGTCAGCAAGCCGCTGGTACTCCTCATTGGCCTCGTCGTCGTCGACATTCTCTTCGCCTTCACGCCGACGCGCTTCTTTATTTTTCTCGTATCGTCCCCGAGAATCGCTAAGGCGCTCATTTACTTCACCACCTGAGTGTGTGAGTTTCTCGACGGCATGTTGGAGATGGGTGCGAAGGTTGCGGAGGTGATGTGATGCGAGGAGGGCAGCGATTTTGCGCTGGCTTTCTGCTGTGAGGGGTGCCTTGGGGACCTCGTATTCTGGCAGGGGTATTGCATCTGAGACTGAGGTATGGCTTGCGTTTCGTCTGTGCGATTGTGCTGATGGTGGATAGGACTGAGATTGCGCTCGGCTTGGTGTTGCCGACATTGTTGTGGGGGAAGAATTCTTGTAATGGGTGAGTTGGTGAGATGCGGATTACTAGGAGTATTATGCTTTGATTCGGGTACAGGGCTTCCAAGCCGTTGACAAAGAAAGTCCAAGTAACAAAGCGCATCTCGAAATCCGGACGCGAGACGCGATTACGCTAGTCCTGTTTGGGGTTGCGTATATCAACGATAAGCCTTATCACTATAGAACATTGGAAGTACTCTGTCTTCCCCGACAAACTACATTGTGACGACTATGTACTTAGGAAAACGAAGTCAAAATGAGACGCCTTAATCATACACAACTTCCCAGCGACAAAGGCTTCTTGTTTTATAAATCTGCATAATCTTGCATTTGCTCTGGAACTAGTTGCAACCATTAGTCCCAGTCCAACTGCCATATCGAAGATGCGGATGGCTTGGCGTCCGTACACACATTTGATTCAGCACAGATCTGCATTTACTGAATAGCATAACGAAGCAACCTTATGCAGCGCTATCCTCTAGCGGTGCATGTGCCACCGCAGCCTATAACTCGATCATACTCCACAATCAACCCCAAGAGCCCACAATTGACAACACGTGAAATCCCGAAGAAAGATTATACCCCTGTTGAGAGTGAGTGGATATGCCTGTAGGCAAGGTTCTCTTGGGGACTGTAATCATCAATCGTGCCATGCAAGTGATTGAGAACTATTGTTATTTGACAATTAAGAAGAAGATTATTTGGAATTGAAAATACAAATGGTGAGTGAGGAAGAGTTCACACAATGGAACATTCAAAGGATCCATGAGCCTATACCTTGTAGAAGCAGTATGCATGGTAGAAGCCTAGCGATGTCATCTGTTAGCAGCTGCGAAAAGCAATACACATATGAAGATTACTCACTGACAGCCTCCTTCTCTTCCTCTGTCATATTCAAAGCACCAGTCGCGCGGTCTCTTACGCCCATGCGATCACCCAGCGGGCCCAGCTCGGGATGATTCTTCTCATCCTCCCAAATATCCAAAAATGGCTTGCGGTATTGCAGTTCTAGGTTGTAATCTTCGGTCAGGCTGGGTTAAAAAGTTAGCTGTGCATGGCAACGTGATGAAAGTCGGCACTCACGCTCGGAAAGCCTCCCAGGGGACGACGTATTCGGGAACCTCTTCTACTGCCTCCTTCATGAAGTAACTGTACTTCCACCCGAAAGGCGGACGGAAGATTCCGTCCTCGGGGGTTGCGCCAGGGAATTGAACGCGGTAGATATCGTTGCCCCACTGGGCCCGCTCATCCTCTTCGACTTCACCATCCTCGGGGCCTTCTGGCTCAACAGGTTTAGCAGCCTCGCGCTCCTTGCGCGCCTTATGGAAGGCAGACACGCGGCTGGTAATGACGTCTGAGTTGGGGCAAACCCCAAGGAAACGACCACCTTTCTTCAAGCAACCCGCGACATTGCTGAGCATTTGGCGTGTCTTCTCCTCAGACTCAAAGGCGTAGTGAATAGCAAACATACATGTGACGATGTCAAAGCCTCCACCGCCATAGCGAGAGGCCATGATCGATCCACCGGGGCCGGCATTAGCATCGATACCAACCCGCTGGATGATGTCGATATCGCCCAGCCACTCACCAAAGCAATCTTTCGGATAGAACTCGGCATGGAAAATTGGCTGCGGTGGTCGTCGGCCTCGCTGGCCGCGGCCCGAGCGCATTTGATCGTACCGGCCCCGCGCTTGCTCAATTGAAACATTGGCAGGATCAAGACCGACATAGAGGTCAACTGGCTGAGGCGCAAGCTGCCACTTGCCTAAATCGCCACCCTTACCACAGCCCAGATCCAGTACGAGAAGCTTTTGATTATCAACAGGCGGCGGCCCTTGGCTGTCATTCGCCCAGTCCTTGCTGTCCTCAAATCGCGCGACAAATGTCTCATCCGGGGAGAACTTCTGTATAAGAGTACTCTTCACCCAGTTGTTGAAGCTGCGTAGCCCCTTGATCTTGCTCTCTGTCTTCCGCCACTCACGGCCTCTCTCCGGAACCGCGTTGTAGTGTTGTCGAACCACGTCCGAGATACCGCGCTGCTGAGAGTTGCGCATAGCCTCATCCACTTCTGCACGCTCACGCTCCTCCTGTTTGCGTCGTAGTGTTTCACGGTCTAAGAGACCCTGTCGTGCTCCGCCGCCTGGTCTCTTCCGTTGACGCGGTGCATCGGGGGAGGGAGAGCGCAGTGGCTGTAGTGGCGATCGAGAGCGTCGGTCTTCGCGTGGTGGAGCGCCGCCTGGGCTGCGAGAGCGGTTGCGTCGCGAGAATACTGACGGCGGAGTTCGGCCCCGTTTCCGGAGGGCTTGATGTCTCTCCTGGAGTCTTTTGCGCTTGGATGCCGCGCTTGATACATGATTCGATCCGTCTGCCGCAGTGTCTCCTTCGATGCTCCTGTGTCTGCCGGTATCTGTTGAAGGGTATGTGGTATTCGTGCGGTCAGGCGAGCGAGGCGTGGACCGCCCACGAGCTCCATCACGAGCTCCATTTCCATTGGGATGATCCATGACGACGTGAGTAGAGTTGTGAACTGTTTCAGAAGTGATTCGGGAGAACAATGGTCGCGGGGTCTGTGGAGGAAAAGAAGGAAAGGTGTATGCCGCAGTTAGGATAAGCCTAAAAGAAATATATAATTTTAGGTTGATTTCACAGAAATGTTGCCTGCGGAGTTGTGAAAGTCAGAGTTATATCAGAGTAATGGCCAGCTGGAGGTCCAAAGAAAGTCCAAAGAGCTCCGGATCTCGGCCAATCAGAGAGTTCTAAACCAACCCTAATTCCCATTCATCTATCTACAATCTTTCAATGGATTCTTAGATTATGATGTCTAGAAATGAATATGAGATAGATGTATTCTCATGATTGCGAAGTGTCGTGTCTCACAATGATCATAAATCGAAGCTATCCGAGGAAAAAAAAACACAAGCCGCTGAAAGACACACTTTGACCCTCTTCATAAAACCCGCGCTCCCAATTAATGTATTATTGAATAGAAATGAAGATCAGATTGCAAGATCATTGAGGCAAGACAGCTTTCCGTTTTGGTGACTTAGCCGTCAAAACCTGTCTAACTCGTCGAATTTTCGCCCACCATTCGCGGTCTGCTTTCTTTTTCGCATCCGCATTTTCTTCTTGGCCTGCAGTCTCGGTTGGTGTGCATAGGTCCGTCCGCAATGTATCAGTGGAGGCCATAGTACGAACTCTGCGGCGGTGTTTGACCTTTACGGCCTCCGCGACGATCTGCCACCCAGCACGTAGTTCCGCCAACTTCTCGTTGGGTCGCCCAATGCCACTTTGGGCTACCTTGTCGATCCAGGGACAATACTCCATGTGCTCATCGGCCACATCGAGGGAAGTGTAGACGGTGACGTCTCCATCATCTTTGGGTTTGTACATCCATAATCCCAGGCGACGGAAACACGCTCCACATCCGACTAATCCTGCAGCTCCATCGGAGGCAGTATCCCAGCCGAGCAATGCTAGCGCCAGGGCAGCTCGATTGACAGCTTTGGGTGTTTCTGTTGAGTCTTGGTTGTCAATGTTTGTAGGCTGAATCTCTCCGTTGATGGATACCGCAGCTTTCTCGGCCTCTTTGAACCATTCGTCGGGAAGTCCTTTGATAAGAACATCAAGATCAAGCCCTTCTGGAGTCTGAACAATATCATCAGCTGGTAATTTATCGCCCATTTCCAAGATGTTTGTATATCGCGTGTGAAGGCCCGACAGGGCAGTATCACAATTGGTCAAAGGGAGATGTTGGATAGTGGCTAATCTGATGTTAGTCATAGGACGAAAGGTCCTCAGTCTTATTTAAACTCACCATCACAGCTCTTATTTCGCCAGGGACAGTTTTCACCGTGAGCACTACTTAGCATTTTCGCATACTCATCCACCAGCCTCGCACCTGTAGGTATATAGGTTAGTATAACCCGGTTCAGCTGGACCATATATCTGTTGTATTACTTACGGACTTCCTTCCGCTCCTCCACCTTTTCAATGTTGAAACCGTCGAGCTCATCGATTTCATCAGGGAGCTTCACAACGACTGCGCCGCCGCAATCACTCACGCAGGCGACGCGCATGACGTCCGTACAGATCCAACCACGCTTCGCCCATTGCACTTCATTGATCGGAGACGGCTTTGACGTCCATCGGTCGACACGGCGGAAGGTCTCTAACCGCTCGAGAAAACGTTCGCGGTCCCAAGGGACAAAGGTCGGGCGCTTATTCGAATTTGCGGAGGCTATTCGGTGCCCTGGTCGCGATATCTTGTGGATTGAGTTGCGCACCGCTGTGAGCTCCGAACGGTCGGCGCTGGCCAAGCGTACTTTCTTGATCGATAAGTTGGCGGAGAGACGGTCTTGCGCCGTCGCAGGCGCCGTAGGGGCTGGTTTAGGCGCGTTGTCGGACGTAAGAGGTTTGGATATTGATTCGAGAACACGGTGGAACTTCCGCTTCTTTGATTCTAGAGCGTAGGACATATTGGTGCTGGGCTGAGAAGCAAGTCAAGTGGTGCAGATCAACACAACGCGGAGAGGGTTGGAGCTGCGGCGATCATAACGCCCGAATGTGTATCAGCCTGAGGCATCAACATCGATATTAGGCCCATACATCGATACTCAGCGGTCAATTAAATCGAACGGTATGGATGTCAGTATTCTCTCAATTAGAAATTTAATTCCTCTGTCAACTGCTGTGTACTGTTGACAGTGCTATTCCACTCCGACAAATGCTCCACTGCTGATTGGCTAAGGCATTCCGTGACATCGTACAATCCTCCGAACTTCACCAACTTTCTTCCTTCACTCATCTGCCTTGACCATGGCTTCTCTGAGGAGCTCTCTGTCGCTATGGCGGAGTGGTGCGCCTCGTTTGGCCAAAGACTTTTTCACATCCCAATGCCTCCCAAGTCAGGGCTACGCAGCCAAATCAATCCGCCAATTCGGTGCCCTCCAGTTCCGTCAACCCAGCAAGATTCAATCGACCCTTCTGAACAATAAGAAATTCTTCACCTCCAGTATCAAACGTTCAAATGCCGCACCGGCCATTGCAGAGGTGGTGGAAGAAGGCACAACGAAAGGCAAATCGAGCTTCCCCAAAATTAGCGACAAGACCGTTGCCTACTGGCTACTAGGCAGCGCGGCCAGTGTTTTTGGAATTGTGGTCTTCGGTGGTTTGACACGGTTGACAGAATCTGGGTAGGTGGACTGAGGTGCTTGTTTTTCACGAAAAGTGAGCTTCGAATGCTGACGGAACATATTCTGGCGCAGATTGAGTATCACCGAATGGCGACCTGTTACTGGCTCCCTCCCTCCAATGAATGCGGAACATTGGGAGGACGAGTTCTCAAAATACCGCGCATCTCCCGAGTTTCAATTGCTTAACCCGAACATGACTCTATCCGAGTTCAAGTCGATCTACTATATGGAATGGATTCACCGGCTCTGGGGCCGGTTTGTTGGAATCTCATTTGTGCTACCCGCAGTCTATTTTGTCGCTCGAAAGAAGGTCTCCACGCCCATGGCGTGGCGCATCTTTGGAATTGCTGGTCTTATTGGTTTCCAGGGATTCCTTGGCTGGTGGATGGTAAAATCTGGCTTGAAGGATGATCTCTTTGCTCCGGGCAGTCACCCGCGAGTGAGCCAATATCGTCTGACTGCTCACTTGGGTGCTGCTTTCATTTGCTACACCGCGATGTTGTGGAATGGTATTGCTATTCTGCGGTCTAATCGGTTGATGGCTGACCCGGCTGCTGGAATCAACCAACTTAATGCGCTGCGCGACCCGAAGCTGGCCTTCTTCCGCCGCTCAGTCGCTGGTATTGCTCTCTTGGTCTTCATAACTGTTATTTCAGGCGGTCTCGTCGCCGGTCTTGATGCTGGGCTTATCTACAACGAATTCCCATGGATGGGCCAAGGACTAGCACCTCCAAAGGAGGAGCTGTTCGATGCCCGCTACTCCCGCCACGAGGACCACTCCGATCTTTGGTGGCGCAACATGCTTGAGAATCCTTCTCTTGTTCAGCTTGACCACCGCGTCCTCGCAGTGACCACTTTCACCGTCATTTGTGCCTTGATGGCTTACACCCGCGGCTCCCCCACCATGAAGCGCTTCCTACCGGCACCTGCTAGAAAGGGCGTCCACGGCGTGTTCGCGTTTGCGTGTTGCCAAGTTGGACTCGGTATTAGTACTCTTCTCTATCTCGTGCCCACTCCGCTTGCCTCCGCCCACCAGGCTGGAAGCTTGTTCCTCCTGACCTGGGTCATAATCTTGGGTAGCCGAGTCTGGCATCCCTCACGTACAGCCAAGCTGTTGCAGCTGGCTGCGAAGGCTCGCTCCCAGCAGCTCTCTAACACTGCTGCCTCTGCTGTGAAGAGAGTCTAATAACCCTGCCTCTCGAGTGTATGAATATGTCGACCAGGGTTGATTGTGTTCATCGATTGCCTTGGTAATTGATACCATCTCCATTCCTCTGTTGACTCGAGCGATTCTCGAGTCTTATTGTATAACTAGAACTACTTCTTTCATTGTAAAAAACATGTTTTGAACTAAATCAAAGTTTATTGGTTGATCTACCTAAGTCCGAAATTGATATCCCCTTTTTTTTGGTTTTTGGTTCCCTTTTTTCTCTTCTTCTTCTTCTTTCTTGCACTTTGTACTTCTTCGTCCTCATCTTTCATGTCTTCACAATTGCGTTCCACATTTTCTTACTTTCGGGTTTCAGGTCTCAGTGATGCTTCATTCCTCTTGCCAGGCACTTACTCCGCCAACTTCGTAGCAGGTCTCGCAGCGCGCGCAGGGTTGCGGCGTGTTATGATGTATCCAACAGGCAGACCGTCATCACCAATAGGAATATCAGACTCATCGTGGGGCCATTCATCTCCCACAACCGACATGGTCATATCAGAATCAGTGGACAAAGCATCGACCTGCGGCTCCAAGACCTGGCCACGTGCAGGAGCCATTTTCTGTCCACCTGTATTACTTTGCACATCGCTGGTGGCACTAGGAGTTCCGTTACCAAAAGATCCAAGATCCAGCAGGGTTTGCGCAGCCCTCACATGGGCAGACTCGGAGGATAGGCGGTCTTGAGTCCCATCCAGGGATGGCAAAGATAGCGGCATATCGCCACCCCCCTCGGGGACATGAATAGCTCCAAAGGAAGCGTGTGTATGGTCTCCGTTTCGGTCGGTCAGACACTTGCGGCAGACTTGCCAGCCGCAGTTCTGGCAGCGTGACATGCCGTTCTTGTTGCGCTTGTTGCATACGTCGCACTTTGCGGTGTGGGCTGCTACTTCTGAGAAGTTAACGCCGACTCGCCGTCTCTGGGATCGGTGGTTTGCGGCTGCATCGCGGCTCGCCATTTGGCGGCCGTTCGGTGGCACCCGGTTTGTTGAGACCGGTCGAATCGGGTTGGAAGAGATCTTCTTCGAGGTTGATGACACCTGTGTGCTTGGAGATCGCGGATCGCGGAGTGTCGTCTGCGCAGAGTTAAGAGTCGACTGTGTGGGCGCTGGTGATGCCTGAACTGGCTGGGCTTCCTTCACATGTAGAGGGATTTGAGGGGCGAGATGGTTCTCTATAATATGGGCTTGTAAGAGCTGAGATGCTGGTTTTTGTTCTATCTTTCTTACCTTTGCCCACGTTCACATTGGGTTGAAACCCCACGGTAGAGACCTATTAGAAAGTTAGCTATATTTGATACCCTCTGTTTTTATAACCATCATTCTGCACGTACGTCTTGGTAGGTAAATCCGGGCTCTCGAAACGCCTAACACAATTTTAGAATGATATCTCAGGGAAAAGCCGGATGGAACAAACATTCTGGCTGGGGTCAGGCGGGACAAGCCATCCATTAGCTGGATAGGGTGGGTACGGATTAGGAATGGTATTGATTTTTTGTGGTGAAGACGAGGAACTGTTGCCTGTTCCATCGTACATGTTGTCAGAAAGATGCAAGCTCGGCTGGTTGCGCTTGTTGGCTTCGACAGACTCGTCGAGCTCTCGAAAAGATGGGAGACCCAAGTCTGGGATGCGAGGGAGACGCATGGTATGATGAGGCATGATTGCAACAGAGATGTGCTCGATGGTACTTGATGATATTTGAAGGAAGAGTTCCTTTGAGCAAGAATGAAAAAGGAAGAAGATGGGGATGTACGAAATGAAAATGAAAATGAAAAATGGATGTGGTGTAGATAAAAGGCTTGGGGTTGATGAAGGTTCTCAGATGCAAGTTGTACTGGGCATTGTTATATACAGTCTCATGGGATCGGAGGACGCCTGGTGGTTTGTGGAGAGCGCTTAAGGACAGGCAAACAGATCGGAACCTTTGAAAATACAACTCACAACACAGTTCTACTCGATTAAATTCAGCAGCTGATCAACCTCTCGTCAATCTCATTATCTAGATACCCACCGATCTCGAATCAAGTACAAAGGAAGAGGTTTGTTTTGAAATTGGCTGTATCGCCGAGATATTCTTGAGAACCCATTTTATCTGCTGCGTTTATCATAAAACAGAGAACTGCATGCAGCCCCCAAGACGCATCGCACATCAATAGCATCAACATCCTCTTCTCGGGCAATCACGTCATTTTAATCATTTGTGGGCTGTATATTCATCGTCAGTGATATCGGCTCGTGGAAATTTGCTGATATTAATAACATACGGATTCCTTCTTCGGGGCTAGGCTCGATACCGACGACTTCGGCAGCAGTCTTGGGGTCGGCAGCAGTCTTATCGTCTTTCATCATGGGGAAGGTCAACACTTCCTTGATGCTGTAGTTGTCGGTAAGGAACATGACGATGCGGTCAATACCCAGACCCCAACCAGCAGTCGGGGGCAGACCGTACTCGAGGGATTGGCAGAAAGTCTCATCAATCATCTGAGCTTCGTCGTCACCTTGATCCTTCTGATTGGCCTGCTCCTCGAAGCGCATACGCTGGTCGAAGGGATCGTTTAACTCCGTGTAGGCGTTGATGATTTCCTTGGTGCTGTAATTTGGTTAGCTAAATTTCCGCGAAGACTGATAGGCCAATTATAGGCAGAGCGAATTTGGAAAGAACAGGGGGTTTCAAGCAACTAGAAGTTGGGTGAGAACTTACCAAACGAAGGCCTCGAAACGCTCGCAAAGACCAGCCATTTGACGGTGCTTCTTAGCTAGTGGCGACATCATCTGGGGGTGACCGGTGATAAAAGTGGGGTTAATGCAAGTGTTCTCGATGAACTCGCCAACTAGCTTGTCGAGCATGCGGGCATTGGTCTGAGGAGCCGAGCAATCCACGTTCATCTTCTTCAGAACGCGCTTAAGGAATTCGTTGGTCTCCTGAGTGTGAAGCTGGTCACTGGGGGGAACTTCTCGCCGCAAGCCTCCTCGAGAGCAGGCATCATCTCCACCCGCCTCCAGGGAGCCTTCCAGTTCACATTGTAGGTTTCGCCAGACTGAGTGTGGAATACGGTCTCGTAACCACCAGTAACGTGCTTAACCAGATTCGAGACAAGGTCCTCAGTCAAGTCCATCAGGTCGTACACATCCGCGTAAGCTTGGTAGAATTCGCAGGTTGTGAACTCGGGGTTGTGAGTAAGGTCAATTCCCTCATTTCGGAACACGCGGGACAATTCGAACACACGCTCGAGCCCTCCAACAACCAGCATCTTGAGGTAGAGCTCGGGAGCGACACGCATGAAGAGGTCCATGTCGAGGTCATTATGGTGGGTAACGAAGGGCTTGGCTGTAGCACCACCAGCAATGGCATTCATCATAGGAGTCTCAACCTCAATGAAATCAAGGTTTTCAAAGTACTGGCGGATGTAGGAAACAATCTTAGATCGATTACGAAGGATATCACGTGACCGGTCGTTCATGATGAGATCTAGGTAGCGCTGGCGGAAACGCTGCTCTTTATCCTGGAAGCCGTAGTGCTCTGAAGGAATCGCATGCAGACAAGGGGCCAGAAGAATAACCTCAGTGGCGAAGATAGAAAGTTCACCATCGTCACGGTTCTTGGGGTTGGTCCGACCAGGGAAACCCACAATGCCCACAATATCACCTCTGCGAAGTAGCTCGTGCTGCTCTTCGAAGAGCTTTCCGGTCGAGAATTGTGCTTGGCACATTACCTGGATCTTAACACCCTCTGAGCGGATGTCATAAAAGTTCAGCTTGTTGCCGGAGGTACGCTTGGTATAGATACGGCCAGCAACGCGAACGGTAACATCGGGCTTCTGTTCGCCCTTCTGGAGACCCTCATAATCCTTAACGAATTTGCGGAGATCGGTGTCGACGTGGAATTTGTGTGGGTAGGGATCCGGCTGCTTAGTTTCGCGCAGCTTGTTGATCCTCTTGCTACGAATCTCGAAGTATTGCTAGAACGACACATTAATTAGCGTCGCAGGACCTAGGAATCGACCCAGGAGCAAGATCACTAACGTTAGGAGTCAAGTTGGCCTCGTCATCCTCGGCAGATGATTTCTTCTCGGCCTTGGGCTTAGGGGGAGCAGCAGCCTCCTTCTCCTTCTTCTTGGCGTCCTTCTCACGCTGCTTCTGGCGTCTCTTCAATTCAGTCTTGGAGACTTTCTCGCCGGTGACATCATCGAGAAGAAGGTTGGCAATGGAGGCAGTGGCCTCTTGAACAGGATTGGAATCCGCCATAATGTGTGGTTACAGAGAACAAGAAAGTGGGATGGTGGGATGGTGGGATAAGACCTGAATTTTTGGGCGGGGATCGGCACGGCATGTGATTGGACGATTTCCTATAACTCTGGGGTTCTTTCGACCTTCGTGACTCACTTAGATTGACTCATTCCTGAATTGGCATCGAGATATCTATGTAAATAAGATCTTTATTTGAAAATAAAAATTAGGTTTTAACTGCGGGAATCCTCCTTCACTTTCTCCGTTGTCAAGCATTTCACGGATACTAAATTGGGATGTAGGGCTTAGGGCACTGTAGGTATCTAAAATAGACCTTCTCCAAGCATTGCAATTCCTCCTCAAACAGAGCTATGGAAGCCTGGAAGCCTGGAAGCCACGCTAACGCAATATGGATAGCCTGACTACAACTTTGAGCAGTCGCTACAGCCTTGTTCCTAGGCGGTGCCACTACACGTGCCTGCTTTAAAGTGGCTCGCTCCTCGCAATGACTTTTTTTTTTGACTGGATAAAGTGTTATAGATCGTTCGCTATCTGAACTTTGATATTTTGGTTTATCAGGCATTAGTTCTGCAATCTGGGCTAGCTTAGCTTACTCATTGGCCAAATGTACAGTTCAACGTTGTAAAACGCCATAGTATAGTAAGAAGGGACATAGTGCATAATGCGCAGCAAGATGGTAGGGTAGATACTTTAAATCAGTAACAAAATTAAGTCACTTTTATCACATCAACTTCTTCATCGTCAACAACTGCTTCAACAACTGCTCTAAAAACTGCTCTATCATTATAGAGGGATCAAAACATCTAGTTTTAATTTAAATTGCTTCATATTCATGCATGACAGAGAGAGCTATGGTTCAAAGACTCTAACGGTCAAGTTAAGGCCGCGATTACAATCCACTTTCGTGGTCGAGACCGAATTACCGTCGAACAGTGGGCAGGAAACCCACGACCTGATGGCAGCATGGACCTTCGGTTCCCAACACAAAAGATTGAAATTGAACGGAACTCAGGCCCAAGAGGAGTAAGAGAAGGATGGTGAATAGGCCTATTAGCTGAAGCGTTAGGGTGGCCACTACGCAGTGTCGACTATCTTCCATCTCTTCTTTTGCCCGTTGTATAAGCGAGAACCTCTTGCATCCCATATTTTTTCTATCATTGGTCATTCTCTGGCTATCCCAATCAATTTGCTTGCTTTTCTTTATACTATCCTTGTCTCCCTTTCATTTAAATACGCCTACCTTTCTCTTCATCATCTTCTTCTATTCACCCATCTCCTCGACCTCGGCCTCGATTCTGATTTCTCATCCTATCTGCTGATGGCAGTTGATTTCTGTCTGCAGACTTCGCTTTTTAGCTATCTATTTCTCCCTGATACGCCTCATCATCTGCAGTAGGTTTCACTTTTCGGCCAACTTGGTCTTGAGAATCACGCTTGTTTCTAATCTGTGTCCATCTGTGCTTTTTGTATGTCTCAGCTTGCCGTACTACTAGTGGCACTAGGCATCACTTCCTGTCCCCTATTAATGATCTTATGGCTTATAATAACTTCTCCAGATTTGATCACGATGTCAGGCTTGTATGATCGAGTTCCGAAGTCGGAACCCAGCCTAGCCATATGTGAGTCTGGTCATCCTTGGTAAAGAAGGTCTTCTCGCTAACTAACCTCTTCATCCCTCTAGCTGGCTTAGCTGTTCCGATTCCAGTGTCTCATGGACTATCTGATGTCCCTTCTGTCCACCCAATCCCCGCCTCCTCTCTCGATAATCTTACCATGGACATGAAAAATCTGGTCAGAAAAATTCAAGACCTCAGTCACTTGGGGATTGAGGACAGCAAGATTATGCTTCCGAAAATATGTGTCGTCGGTGACCAAAGCACCGGGAAAAGCTCCCTCATTGAGGGTATTTCCGAGATCAAGGTGCCTAGAGCCGAAGGCACCTGCACTCGGTGCCCGTTAGAGATCAATCTTTCCGAAAGCGACGACAACTGGAAATGCGTGATTCATCTATCACGCCGCTACATCTTTGATCCATCGAAGCGGATGAAGATGCCCAAGAAGTCAGAGCCACTAGGACCATGGATTGCGCTTGGCGGCCAAGATGATGAACATTTCATCACCTTGGATAACAAGCAGGAAGTTAAGAAGGCTATCTGGTGCGCCCAGTTAGCTATCTTGAACCCTAGTACAGATTCGCAGGATTTTCTTCCCGGATCTACCGACATGGCACAGACACCTCAGGTTAAGTTCTCTCCGAATGCCGTGCGCCTGGATATATCTGGTCCTGGTCTTCCAAATTTGTCGTTCTACGATCTTCCTGGAGTGATTAGCCAGACAGAACAAGATAATGAACGATACCTGGTCAATCTGGTGGAAAATCTTGTCAAAGATTATGTTTCTCAGGAGCATTGCATTGTACTCCTCACCCTGCCCATGACAGATGATGCGACAAATTCCAGCGCTGCTCGTCTCGTCAGGGACATCAAGGGCGCGAAAGAGCGCACCCTTGGGGTGTTGACGAAGCCGGATCGCCGGCCCTCCGACGAAGCATTTGACCAATGGCATGAGATTCTGGATGGAAGCAAGTTCAAGCTTGGCCACGGTTATTATGTCATTCGAAACAACCCCGACCCACTTGTCAGCCACGCCCAAGCTAGGAAGGAGGAAGATATGTTCTTTGATTCTTCACTGTGGACACGGGACCTCGCCGCATTCGAAGATCGCTTTGGCACGAGACAACTTCAAACGGCATTGTCTGACCTCTTGATGCGTCAGATCTTAGGATCTTTGCCCTCCATCATTGCCCAGATTGATGAGAAATCGAAGGCAATTGATGAAGAACTGCAGACCCTTCCAAATCCTCCCACTGAAGATGTTCAGCGAATTCTTTGGGGGAAAACTTCAGATCTCGAAAGAAAAATTCATGAATTGTTCGATGGGACCCGCAGCATCGAGCACGGTTCTTCCCAGCGAAAGCCGCTGCAAGAGCAGTGGAACAAGATTGTTATGGACCTTCAAACAGCACTTGCGAAGACACGCCCCATCTTGGACGTTGCTGCGCAGAAGGATCATGAAGACTTGGCTGAAGTTGTTGACTCGGATTGTGAGTTGCAAATTTTGAGCGTTAGTACAACAACGCCAAAGAAACGAAAGTCACCTGCGAGTTGTACTCCTGCATCGGAACCAGCAACTCCGAGAAGGGCTGTGTACAGCACATCCCACTTCGAGGGGTCGAAGTCTGCCAGAATCAGTCTGCAGCAACTCACAGAACTCAAGATTCGCTCTAACACAGTTGGTGTACCGAACCAGCTTGATCCCCGAGCGATTGAGAATTTGAACAAGAGGAGCGTTGAGCATTGGGGAAGACTCATGGAGATTTTCCTCAAGGCTACGCATAATCTTGTCCACAGTATGCTTCTTGAAGCTCTGGAGGAAGAATTCGCACAATATCATCAGACTGGGCTGTATCAGGAACTTAGCAGATTTCTGAAAGAGTTCATGGGCAAGCTGCGCCAGGCCCATCTTCAAATTGCCAAGGATTACTGCAAGTCCGAGCGTGAGATACCGTTCACAATGGCCCAAGGTCAACATCAACTCTTGATGCAACAGACTTCAAACGTGTTGAAAGCTCGTCGATTCAATGCTCGCGCCACTTGCTGGCTGAAAATTCGTGGCCATGATAACGATGATAAGCTTTCAGAGAAGGTGAAGAGGATCCAATTAGAACAACTTGGTCCTGATAGATACTCCCAAGAACTTGAGATGATGGCCGTAAGTCTTCTAGGGGAGATTTACTGACATTCACTAATTGCGGTCATAGAGCTCGCTTGCATACTACGATATCGCATCTTCTCGTTTCCTAGACGTATTATGCCAGTCTACTCACATGAAGTTGTTCCGGGCTTGCCGTGCAAGTCTCGTTAGTACTCTTCGTGACGACCTTGAAATCTTTGGCGACAACGGTGAGCATGCACAATATATGTGTCGAGTATGAGATTGAAAAATGTTGCTAATACGTAACTTAGGTCGCGCCCGCTGTCTGGACCTCATGACGGAGGACCCTGAGCGCCAGCATCGCCGTGCTCAGTTACTGAAAGAGCGGGAGAAGTTTTCGAAAGCTCAGGAATGGTTGGACTCTGTCCGGGATTCGGATGTCGAGATGGAAGACGACCAGACTGCTGTTCCAGACATCAAAGAGGACTGGTGATTCCTAAAATTTTCGTCTCCTGGTCTTCATGATTTTGCCATTTCCACCGGTGTTGACTGGGTCAAATATGGGCTTGAGAAGAGTCTTTTCGGGGAGTTCCTGCGAGCTTCAATACTGTTTCTAATGTGATGGATGGGATGGAGATATGAATCAAATGGAGGAATAGAAAGATGTCAACAAAGACTCCTGAAAATCGTGTTTGTTAGGCCGAGATGATCGCAAATATACTTGTTCATGCCTTTCCCAACTTTGATATCAAACATTTCGGGGATCTTGAAAGGATTGTAAGATTTTGAGCGAGGTGTAAGCATTCGTCACTACGATCGAGTTTGGTAGGCTTTGGAGCTAATTCCATTGGCCGTCGGATCCCTAGTTCTTGGTGGCCTGTAACGAGCTTTTGAGAAGATGCGAGTAGTATACAAAGGTGCACTGATATCATGAAGGTCTGTTTCGGCGGCTATACGGAATACCTACTGCCTTCAGTCTTCTTGTGTCTGGAGAAATGAAGGCGGTAAGAGTGTATCGTACCGCCTTTTTGAAAGGGGAAAGGGCACCCAACTATCCCAACTGCTCATTTGCCTCAAGCCAATCAGCCCTTTTTTCATACCAGTCAAAACGCAATCAGGTGTCTTCGCTTACATCGGGTGCTCTATTACATCTACCAAGACCCGCGATGACACGTCGGGCAGCAACCCTGCCACTGCTCAGAGGCAACACCACATTGGAGTCAGCGCTGGAGCAAGAGGAGGATGTTCTCCTTGACTTAGATTACCCAGAACAGCGCATTGATTTCTTTGTGTTGCTGTACAGCAATCGTGATGATATTGAGCGTATTGCCTCATATCATCTCGGTCTAGGTCCTTCGGATACTTGCAGGACTGGCGATGTAAAGGAATGGGCCCATGGCAGCTTCAATGTTTGCATTCCGCTCTATATCAGTAAACAAGGTCAAGATCTAAGAAAACATGCTCTTATTAGGTTTCCCTTGCCCTACAAAATAGGGGAATTCAAAACCCCCGGCAATGTGGACGAGAAACTGCGCTGTGAAGCTGCAACTTTTATTTGGATACATACGCATTGTCCGGAAATATCTATTCCTCGGCTGTGGGGGTTTGGACTTGTTGGAGGCCAAAGCGTACGGGACCTCAATAGAGATTGACTATTATTACATGACTTCTAACATATCTTTATATAGTTTACGAAACCGGAGAATATCTCTCTCGGAACTAGACTTCTCTGGACCCTGAAAAGATCTATCATACGGCTTTTAGGGTTCTCTCTACCCTGTCCCTATATATCTCATCAGCGTCAGACATTACTCGAAACCGGGTACTTGGTGATGGACTACATTGGCAACTCGGAAGTTCAAATGCTTTCAGAGACATGGGATGAAGACCGTCATGAGCAAGTCAAAAGAACAAATCTCTTTCGCGGGCTTTCACGGATGATGCTCTCTTTAAGTCAGATACCACTCCCCTGCATAGGATCATGGACCCTCGACTGCAATGGAGTTTTGCAACTTTCCAACCGACCTCTCACTCTTCGACTCCATCAATTAGAAAACGGGGGAATTCCGACTAACATCAGTCGGAGCTTGACCTACTCAGCAGCGGACGTATACTACCTCGATCTTTTGTCTTGTCATGATAATCGCATACGGTATCAGCCAAACTCTATAAGCGATGCGGATGATGGCCGAGCCCAGATAGTAAGATTGACGATAATGAAAGCGCTCCTACCTCATTTTTCTAACAAAGCGCTTCGACAAAGGCCCTTCCTTTACAGACTCACTGATCTCCATCCTAGCAACATATTCGTCGACAGCGATTGGAATGTCAAGTTTGTGATTGATCTCGAATGGGCATGCTCACTACCAGCGGAGACGTTGCGTCCTCCGTACTGGTTGACCGGTTGTTCAGTCGATGAACTAACAGGCGGGCATCTTGAAACCTTTAGTGAGGCCTACGAAGAGTTTGTTGGTATTTTTGAGGAGGAAGAAAAACAGTTTTCCCCTATCAACAATGACCATTCTTATAGGACAAATCTTATGAGAAATGGTTGGCAAGTCGGAAACTTTTGGTATTTCCATGCTTTGGACAGCCCGAAAGGTCTATTCAACCTCTTTTCTCAACATATTTACCCCCTTTTTGCACCTTCTAGTCAGTCAAAGGACGATTTTGCACGGATTGTATCGGACTTCTGGGCTCCCGATGTTGAAAAGGTGTTAGCTGCCAAGCTTCGGGATAAGGAGGAGTATGAAAAGACGCTTCGTCAAAGGTTCGAGGATGCTGTTGTTAGTGAGGAAGATCGGGATTCAGAGCATTAAGAGGAGTTTGGGTGTTTCTAACTTGGCAAAAATCATGTATCAGAAGACCTTTGGAAGTTCGACTATTACGCTGGAGTTTGATGAGAAAAAGAACGTTATATAATCTATGCTCAAACACGAATTAGGGTGAACATGCGACCTCCGATTGAATAATTACCCTTGGCCAAGCCCTAACTGTCCTTGGGCAGGTTGTATAGGAACTGTGAAGGGCACGTCATTGAAAGGTTCTCAGATCCCAATACTCCCCAACTGTCGAGATGGTCAGAGATTGTCAATAAAATAGCCATCTGCAACGGGTAGTTTACGTATATCAAGACATATATCAAGGCAAAACCGTTGAAAAATAACGTAAATGCTATAAATCAGCGAAGCATTCCAGTGTGCAAGGCCGGAAAGAGTAAAATGTTGTCAGGTGCCCCACCGAAAGCGTCGTCTTGGCGTTTTTGGGGAGCTTCGGGGTCTGTCTGGCCTTTTGGATTCTTATAATTCTAGACTTAACATCTCTTTGCATACCGTTATGCTTCATATACCAATGCGTGAAAATCACAATAACCAGGCTTCCACTAAGGCTGTGATCTTGGTGAGTGACGGAATCATCGCACTAAACAATAACTGACACCTTGTCCACAGGTCGGAGGCCCCTCAAGAGGCACTCGGTTCCGCCCATTGTCGCTCGATGTGCCGAAGGTATGCATCTACCTCTGATTTGATCGTTCATTGGCATTTGCGCCGGACAAAATTGACACCGCAATTCCCATAGCCCCTATTCGAAGTCGCTGGCCACCCCATCATCCACCACTGCCTGAAGGCGGTGGCGAAGGTCCCCGATGTACGCGAAGTGATGTTGGTCGGATACTATGATGAGAGCGTATTCCGGGATTTTATCAAAGATGCCTCGAAGGAATTCCCCCAGCTCCGCATCTCCTACCTGCGAGAGTACACAGCGTTGGGAACCGCAGGTGGGCTGTACCACTTCCGTGATGCAATCCTCAAAGGCAAGCCCGAGCGGCTGCTCGTGCTGAACGCCGATGTCTGCTGCTCATTCCCGCTGGGCGAGATGATGCGCCTCTTCGAGGAGAAGGACGCCGAGGCTGTGATCCTAGGTACGCGAGTTTCGAACGACACTGCGACGAACTTTGGATGCATCGTGTCCGATTCCCACACCAAACGTGTGCTGCACTACGTCGAGAAGCCCGAGTCGCACATCTCCAATCTGATCAACTGCGGTGTTTACCTTTTCGCTACCGAGTGCATCTTCCCCGCCATTCGCAGCGCCATCAAGCGTCGCACCACCCGCCCCCGCCTGCTCTCGTACCCCTCCTCCGACAATCTGGAATCCTCCTTCATAGCCGCCGGGGACGACGAGGACGCCGAGAAGAGCGAGGTCCTCCGTCTGGAGCAAGACATCCTCTCTGATCTGGCCGATAGCAACCGCTTCTTTGTCCACGAAACCAAGGACTTCTGGCGCCAGATCAAGTCCGCCGGATCTGCAGTTCCTGCCAACGCCCTATACCTCCAAAAGGCATTCCAGGCCGAGTCTCCTGAACTCACTCCCCCTTCTGCCAACATCGTGCCGCCGGTCTACATCCACCCCACTGCCACCGTCGACCCCACCGCTAAGCTCGGTCCTAATGTCTCGATCGGCCCGCGTGTCGTAGTCGGCGCCGGTGTCCGTATCAAGGACTCGATCGTTCTTGAGGACTCCGAGATCCGCCACGACGCCTGCGTTATGCACTCGATCATCGGCTGGAGTAGCCGTGTCGGTGCCTGGGCTCGCGTGGAGGGCACACCCATTCCCGTGGCCAGCCACTCAACCAGCATTGTCAAGCAGGGTATCAAGGTGCAGAGTATCACCATTCTTGGCAAGGAGTGCGGTGTTGGCGATGAGGTCCGCGTGCAGAACTGCGTGTGTCTGCCTTACAAGGAGCTTAAGCGGGTATGTTTATTTCTTGTTTTTTCCATATGCATTGACTAACGTTTCCTATAGGATGTGTCCAACGAGGTCATTATGTAATCTGAGTTTTGGTCATTTTTGGTTGATATTTATCGCGCCCTGATCTCCTCGTTGATACGGCTTCATTGTCGGGTTTGTCTCATCTCGTCTTATCTTATGGTTGGATGGTTATTTGCTTCATGAGCGTGGCCGATCTAAGGATCTTTTTGTTTTAATCTATCTAGAACGAACCCAAAATGAAAGAGTCGTTGGATTTTTCGCATTACTATCTGGTATATATGTGGGTTTCGTTTCCCTCGTATAATTGTCACATATCCCAGTAATTGAGCCTGAGCCCTCGAAACGCCATGCACCGGAAACACCTGATATAAACGTTAAGATACAACCCCAGATGAATATCATAAAATCCCGCATGTTGTCATCAAAGCAAAGAAGAAGAGGAAGAAGAAACCCAGTACCAAAAAACCACTCAGCGATACATAGCAGGGTCATACCCAGTATTTTCAGCCTGCCTCTGATGTCCATCCTGATCATAAGAACTAAAGTGCACTCGAGGGGCGGCACGGTGATTCATCCCGGGCGCATCATGATAATAATTCTGCGCCTCACCAGCAGGCGCATGCTCCAAATTGTGCTCATAAACCGGGGGCGCTTGATCATGGCCCTGGCCATAGGCACCGTGCATTGCGGGGGGCACATTATCATAATCATGCAAGGCGGGGGTGGATTCGCTGTGGCGGTCATCCATCTTAACGTCGAAGGCGTCCGAGTCACCAAGGCCTGGATGGGATCCCATTGGGTCGTAGACGCCGAGACGGGTCTGGCGACGGCGCACGACGACGTCCAGCCAGACCGCGGCGATGTAGCTGACCAGGCCGATAACGGTGAATGTGAAGAGGGCTTTGTAGCTCCGGCATACGGCGATGCCAGTCGAGTTGCCCCAGTAGGTTGTTGTGCATGATGTTGTTATGGTGCTTGCCAAGCTCCAGCTCAGGAGGCCCAGGGATAGCGCCCAGAGGATTGTGAGGAGGATGTTGAGCGATATAGAGAGTTTTGTTGATAGGCCGCAGCTGCAGTGGATTATTGAGGTTAGGAAGATGTTGAGGAGGGAGAGGCCTGATGAGACGAAGAGCTAGAGGGTTTTTTGTTAGCATTTATGAATAAGAAGGGTATGTTATTTAAAAATTACGTACCACGAGGAATGAATATGGTAGTTTGTAGCCATCGGCGTGGAGGTGGTAGGTAAACACCGCCAAGATCACCCCTGCCACGATTGAGGAGAGGGAGATCAGGAAGCGGATGAGATGAAATGGCAGCGGCGGATATGCCGAGGGTTTGACTGAGGGTGATCGCATGGTGAGATGTTGAAGATGTGAAGATGAAAGAAAAGAAATTCAGCCAGAGAAGCCCTACAGTCAACACCCTCATGATCGGCGCTCCACTTGACACGTTTGGGCGTGCGTCATGTCGCTATTTTTATATTTTTCATGGGCGCAGCTTGCATCTTCGTGAAATTGTTTCAAGTAAGTTGCATATTGAATTATGGACATATTACAATAGAATGTAGGAGAACAAGTATCAATTAACTTCACTATCTTTCTTCAATAATCGAAATCCTCATCAACCACTGTTTCCCCCAGCCAATTTGGAGCCATTCCCCTCAACCCAACACCCGCGCAGAGATACAAACATCTGCTAGCGCAAGGTCTAAGTGCTCGGCCTGCATTGCATCCATCATATCATTTCCACTTTCCACCCCAGACAACTGGATGCAGTCCCACACCTGCCGATCGGCTCCATCGAGCTCCACATGGTAAACAATGTCGTTGGTAGGGGCAACTGTGGTCACCGCTGGAAACCATCACGCATCAGCCCTTGATCATTGCTCGAGATAGACCGAAATCACGGCAGCTGGGCGATATATAACTCTGGAAGATGTGCGAGAAAGAGCGTGATGCCAATGCCACCCGCCACGTAGGGGGCGATGGACTTTCTGGACACAGGAAGCTTCCCCGACTTGCTCATTTACGTGAAAGAGATATTCAGCAATGGGACCATGTCGTCGGACTATGATCTCGAATTGGTCGGCGGGTTTATCGCGACCGGAGGAAGACAAGATAAACGTCTGAACATAGTCATCGTTTAGGCTGGTTGGGTCGTCATCTCGCATGTGGCTATAGCCCATAAAATGGCAGTGAACCTGTTACCATTCTACCATATAGCTTCACTCTCCGCGGGTTCTCTGGGTCGATTGCCTGCCTCGAGACCATCTTTACTTTGTAGGCATCAGTTTGATTGCCCGTCAATAATGCTGGGGTCGTATTTGCTGTCCACCTGTGGCTGAAGCCCTATAGCGATTCGGTAACTGGCGTTTAAAAGCCCACTGTGCCGCGCCATGTGGTTGACCATGGCTAGTCTTGGGAATCCAATGTACCCAGAGCAAGCAGTGGGGATTGTTGAACAAGAAGTGCAGCTCTCGGGCTCAGGTACAGCGCACTCGGGTTGTCGCCGTGAGGGACTTGAAGCAAGATGACAGGGTCACCTACCTATGAATATATCTGATATATATCACTCTACAGCTACTTGGAACGAAGCGGGTTCCTTTTAATAATGTCATTGACCTTCATCAATAGGCTATTTTGAATAAATAGCTCTTCAGCATGGTATCTATGATTAGATATAATAATGTCAATATCCCTAGTATCTCAAAGTATCCCATTTCCCTTTTATTAACGTACATCGTTGCTTAACATACCAATTTGGACCTTTCAAGAGCTTGTATAGTGACGAACCAATCAGAACTGCCGCGCCGCGTTATCGACTCTCTGCCTTCGGGGAACTTCGTTTATAAAAACAACCTACAACACCTGTACCCGATCTGCATTTCCCTTTTGCAGCTCAATCCTGTGCAACAAAAGCAAACAATCTCATAGGTGCCACAGAATACACGGGCTCTCCCCGCCCACATTCCTTAAAAAACAGCTATCCGAAAGCTTGCGAGTCTTCTATCCCCCACCATGTCGACTTACGAAAGTACGAATCCCATCACTTAAATAAACCCAAAATTCTAAAGCTAACATCCTCTAGTCGAACACAACACGACCGACCCCTCAACGGCCCCAACTGCGCGCCGCCGCCGCCCCGACCTCTCCACCTTCTTCTCAACCCTGTCCCAGATCACTCCAGCTCCCGACCACAGACCCCATGCAGTCCCCGTCCCAGGAGATGTGAGCGCAGCATTCTTCTCTCTCGCAGAGGCGTTGGATATGATGCGTCGCGAGGCCGATTCAGCGCCGCGCCCCGACGCGCAGGAAGGCACCGACAACACCGACTCAGATACCGGTCGCGATCTGCTGACCACGATGATCCAGTCGCTGCTCGCACAGGCGGATATGCCACCACGGAAGGTGGAGGGTGTTGACGAGGAATTCTGTGATAGTAAGAAACACTCCCCTAGCTCGCCGCGCCCATCAACCTCCCCCGAGATCAGCGGGGTATTCCTTTGTCCATCATATAACTAACCACCCTTGGATCTCTTTAGTGCTCGAACGCGTCCCAAAAGCATCCCTCAAAAGCTCTGATAACTGCCCTATCTGCAACAACCCCTTCGTGGAAGATCCCTACCCGCTCGTCGTCCAGCTGCCCTGCCACCCGACACACCGCTTCGATCTGGAATGTGTGCGGCCGTGGCTGCGGCTGCGCGGGACGTGTCCGCTTGACCGTGTGGACTTTGCACAGCAGCAGAGAGACAAGGCGGAGGCGAAGAAGAAGCTTGTTGAGGAGGATGAGGAGGAGGAATGGGATGGTATGTATGGCTGAAGAGATTCTACACGAGACTATGCATCTACGTGCATTGTAAACTGTCCTCTGTAATGGAGACTCCATGGCAGTATGCCTATCTTAGCATGAGTGAATGACTGTTGCATCTATCGATCATGTACATTTTGACCGAATGGATATTGGAAGTAAGCTGACCGGCCACCATGTTGATCGTTGTGCCTCTTCGCCCTTAATCCATATCATGACCACTTCCTCGAATTCTGGTTTAATGTGCGTATTCATGAACAGTCTGTCAGGTTTTGGCTCTTAAATGTGATTCTGGAGCTGAATCGCTTTTGACAACGTATGATACTCCCGAGAAGACATAAGCCACCAAACAGATCAATAATGTAAAAATATAGTAAAGGAGGACAACAATGGTGTTTTGCTGTATGACCTATACGCCTTAGATCCGAAAATACATTGGCACCTTCATTTCGAGTCAAGATCGAGACACGCCTATCCACGAGCCCTTTGTTTCCTCGTTGGCTTTCATACTCTAAACTGATAGTACTAACTAAACCTGCTCCAAAGACCTTTGTCCTCTCTTTGATCAATTTTTTAGACAGCTTCATTCATTCCTTTGTCTATTTCTTTGATTAATTTCTTAACAAAGGGCATACAACTTCATTGTGAAGCTGCAGTCCTCGTGGGATCTTCCCGCTGCTCACATATAAATATCAAGTCCTCAAGCCCCGATTCATCTCATTTATCATTCCAGATGACATTCTCTCTAAGTCATACCATTCTCCACTATACTCACAGACTGTGACAGGGCTTCTCCTGCAGATTACCACATATTAATAGGGTATTTTCACCTCCGATTCCTATATGCAACTTTATCTACTTGCTTACTCTTTCAGTTACTATCCCCACGTTTATGAACCTCAACCACATTTTGGCAATCCAGATACTTACCAGTGAGTATCCCAGCCTATCCAACCACCCCAATGTCTCCCCCGCTGGAGACCCTCGCGCTTGTTTTTTTTTTTTCTATTACTAGGAATGACCGTCATGATAATGATGATTCTTGTCAAGGAGTGGACCGAGTACCAAGCTATACAGTTTTGGCCGAAACTGCGTAGTACTCGCACTCTCGATCTGGAGTCGGGCCTTTATTTACTAAGGGACGTAAAGGAACTGACATGGCGCGTTGAGCAGATAGAAACTGATTTTGGTCGCAAGATGCACCTCGCTGAATACTTGTCTGAATACCATGATCAACCCCCATCTGCTTAACCGCTTTATAACTGTCAGCATACCTTCCGATAACAGACGCAAGATGCAAAGACCGAATATCTGGATGCCTCCTATGCGTAGGGATAGCGCATGAGATACTCGGCCCGAGTGGGTCACCCCAGTTCTCTACCCCATACTCCCATGTCTTTCGAGGCGGCTCACCTTGATGGAACTGGAGTGGGTAGGGTTATAGTACTTTGCAGTACCGGCGGCTTATAACTTTTTGTTGAAGCCAGATCAGTTTGAATGTGCCTATGGTGGATATATTTACGTCAATATCTACCATACGCGCTGTTATTGTTTATTTTAGTTTTGGAGCCGTCTATGAAAATAGAAAGGTGGAGGGGAGGATTATAGCGACTTTCGAGTAGTAACCAACTCAATATCCGTAGTCCTGGTAAAAAGGTCGGATAAAGACAGCTGCCAAGATACTCTACTAGAAATATTTTACAATTAGTGACTACTTTGCTGGTCGATGGTAGAAATCATTTGTTAAACTTGGAATGTATACCACCTTAGTCCAGTAATGTCTATATGAATCACGAATTTTACAGAAGGGAGGAATTGTAATAGTTCAAAAGTATTTTAGAGATTTTCCGTCTACTCTATGTACAGTATTCGGTAAAGAATTCATCACACGTAACTTCAATGCTTCATAAAATTTCCTCAGCCCGAGCCTTGGATCGGATGGCCAACTTGCCTGCCTGGTTGATCATAGCTTCATAGCCGCTTCGCTCGAGCACGCCACCATCATTATTGACAACCTCACGAGCCTCGAGTTCCTCAACAAGGCGCTGATTCTCACGGTTACCCTCCAGCAGGAACTTAAGGCACATCACAGCATGTTCCTTGATGTATGGGTTGTGGGCGTCGAAAGCGGTGCAGCAAAGAATCGCCTCAACGCCGCCGTAACGACGAATCTGCTCTTGGACATCGGGACACTTCCAGACAAGCGAGGAGAGCACAAGCACGACCAGCTTCTTGAGATTGCGCCATTCGAACTCAGAGGGATCCTCTGTGATCGGCGGGGACTCAGGTCGAGAGTCGACGCTGTCGGCGCTATTGTCGGCAGGGTCTGGGTCGCTAGGGTCGTAAGGACGTTCGACAGCAACAGGGGCTGGAGGACTAGCGTCGGAGGCATCGTTTGCGGTGTCGTTTCGGGGAGGAGGGGGAGGGGGCACGGAGCCAAAGGACAATTGGCTCAGCTGGCCCTTGGGGATGCTTGCTTCCAACTCCTTGATCAATGTCACCAAATCATAGACAATCTCCCAATTAACCAGCAGGTTCTTCCAGTCATTGTTCTCGGTCAGCACCGCGAAGAACTCTAAAAATTGGTAGACACCTTCATATACCCGTTCCATATCCCATAGATTGAGTGGGAAGTCCTCAGAAAGAGCCCGCTCGGCGCGGATCTGGCCTTGGAGATAGATTAGAGCACAAGTCTCGGGGATGATGTTACCACGGAAGATGGTGAAGATGTATCGGACAGTGAGAATATCAACTCGGTTGAGCGAGCTCGGGTTGCGAGGGATGTTAGGTTGAGCCGATCCTGTCACCGACGCAGGAGAGTACTTGGCTCGGAAGATGTGGGTAAGTATCTTGATCACAACAGCCTGGGCCGGAGAGATGATGTCCTTAGGCTGGCCGAAGTCCGAGTAGGCATGAGACATAAGGCCATTCTTAAGCACGGCCTCCATGATCTGGACCATCATCTTGAAGTAGAGCTCGTCGTCGGGAAGGTCCCATGCCGCAATGAAAATCAGTAGTTCACGGAGTAGGTTACGTCCTGTCTCCTGCGTGAGCAGAATATGACAGCGGAGCGCTTGCATGTTCCTAGATCCATTCCGTTCGCCGCCCTTGAGGCCAAAGCTGTCCACAATACCGGCCTGAACAATCATAGGCAAAGCTTCGATTTCTGCCGGTCCAAGGACTAGAGGGATATCTGTTAGAAGACCCCGCTGTTGATCACCAGGACGGCCACGGTATTCGTCGTCTTCCTCTTCTTCATCATCGGCTTCTCCGTCGACGCCATCGTCATCCACATCATCCTCGCCATCTCCGTCCACGCTTCCGTCAGCCATGTGATCCAGGCTGTGTGAATCATCATCCCCAACTGTGTGTGAATCACCGTGGTCATAGTCGTGCTCTTCGTCGCCATCGATATGTGATGGCTCCTGAAGCCGAGCCATGAGTTCATCCTTGGCCTCTTGGAGGGTCTCGGCGGCCGATTGAGCTGACCGGGGCATACTGGTATCTTCATCTGTAACAGGTCCATCGACAGCGCCAAAATCGTTGATCTCTGGAAGATCAGCCCAGCAAAGACGAGGGAAACCAGCCGTGAGACTGCGATCAATAGTCAGGATGGTCTTCTTCTTGGTGATTTCGTGTTCCCCTTCTTCCTCGTCGTGTTCCCTGTGGTCATCGTGCGCCTGGTCTTCGTGGTCTTTAGGATCCTCGTGTTCTTCCTCGGGAAGCGCAGCCGGGAGCTCACGAGCGCGGTCCTGGAGATCAGACCAACCGTCAACCTTAGCCCCTAGTATCGCAGTCAAAGCAGCTCTGATATCCTTGACCTGGTCTGGGTCTCTGCCCATTTCTTGAATAGCGCTGAGGTCTCGCCCTAAAATCCTCTCCATGTGATCCTTAATGTTGGCCAGAAGCAGCATGGCAGCCTCTTCCTTGATAGTTGCCGGCTCCCGGGGGAACTTGGCGATAGTCTCCAATAACAAATCCTCTGCAGTTTGGTCGTAAAGCGCGCGAATCGGCGGGTTGATGACACGCTCTCCAACTTGTACAATAGGCGCCACTCCTTCTCGCGAGCTGGCATCGTCCAAAGGCTCCTTGGGCTTTATGATGTTCGTATCAGCGGTCGAATGGTAACCAAACAGATCCAGCCAGAGAACCATCTTGCGATGCTCATTGTGCATAATAAAGTTGTGAAGGTACTGTAGACATGTAATCAGAAGGCGCTTATAGAGGTTGACGACTTTCTGCCATCGCTCCTCGTTCCGCGCATTTTGCTCGCCATCGAAGCCTCGAGCAGTCACACGAACACATGTGTCGATGAGAGCTAGAATCCGTTGGTCAAATCCGGTTTCCGCCGCGAGGTTCTGTGCCTTCTTGGTTGTGGCGAGGAGATTACGAGCGATTGTACACAGATCATTCAAGCGCTCAATGTCTTTGACCAGCGAGAAATAATTGTATGCGATCAAATTTGCGGATGAGTGTTCGTAGCTTGCTGCGGGGCTTTTCCACGCGAAAGATTGGGACTCAAGGACGGGGATTGCTTTTGTGAGGACGTTCGTGAGACCTTGCCAGATATCCGGCGACATGCCGAGATTGTGACTAGCAGGGCGCAACGGATTAGTATACAAAGCATGCAATGGTCAATGATATTGCGATCATACCGAACATCGCTCTCCTGGTGTGTCTTGTACAGGATCTGCTTCCCAGCGGCAAGCATGTGCTCCAAGCGCTTGTCATCAATCATGCCCCGAACTTCGTAGTGGCTCAGTGTCCCTGCAAGGATTACCTTGAGCATGAGCTCAGCTGGCGTGCATAATGGCTTTGGATCTGCCATAATGCAAAGAAAACTCCAGCTGTAACGCGTATTCCTTCAAACGGTAAACAGCGCGGGGAGATCAGAGTGGGATGAAGAATCTAAGATTCGGAGGTGTGGAGAGACAAATTTTCCGCCCGCACGAATGTTATCGTTATCGCCCATTCGCCCATTCTAAGCTCCCAGGGCTATTATTACGCTCATAGCTCTCCTATTGGAGAACTCAACCTTGGAAGGTTCCTTGGACGTATGTTGTATACTTCTAAGGTAAAAGTGCTCCAAATTGCCTATAATATTCAAAGTCTATAAACTAGTTGATAATACTCTACTAGTGTTCAATGAGAGGGTTATGAATCGGTGGCATAGCCTTTTAAGCATAGTCTCACTTTGAGTGTCGACAATTTGTAGATAGCGTCTTTGGAAATATATTTTAGATATTCCTTTAAATCAAAGTTCAAACTCCACAGAGATTCCACACAAAGAGGTTAATGCCGGATATCTCCTTAGATCAACGGACAGATAGTCCTATCACGTCCCGAAGATTATACCAAAAGCCCATATCGTAGATGTTGTCAATATCTCTCATAGTATGAATTCGCTTCCATCGAGGGTCAGGAGGTATGTCTGATCCTGGGCGACGAGCAATGCAATTGGACTCGGAGGCCAATAAACATCCTTCAGTTGGGGGATTTTCATCAGTGACAAGGATTTGATCAGTATGAACAGGCCACAGTTGATCATACGGATCCATAGGAAGAGGGCTGTCGAAAATGAGACTCCGGTTTGTCTTGAATACGAAGCCGTCTTCCACGTCTTCTTTCCAATCGGTCCACTTTGCGCTCTCATTGGTTGTCACCCCAGCCCAAATGAGATATGTATGGTACGCCAGGAAAGAGATCGTCAGCGGGGCAGTCATAACCATCAGTAGAAATACTGTCCCAATTTTGGGATCAGCAGCGATCACAATACCCCATGTGTTGATCCAGGTTGTCCAGCCTTGCATAGCCTCCTGTATCTCTGGCGGAACCATTTGCTTCAGCGTCCCGGAGAGGATGGAATGACCAAGGTAGGAGCCGTAGATCAACATGACAGAAAGGGAGACCAAGAGCGAGATGAAGTACACGCAATTGTTAGCCCCGACGCAGTTCATCAACCATACACAGTGGTGGTCATGTCGAGAAATACAAGCGCGACAGAAGCTGCAATGCTTGCTGCGCGCTGGTTTGAGGAATTTGCAGGTGCTGCATTGATGTCCTGGATGAAAAAGGACTCGGTCGTACGGATAGCGTCTCATCTCTTCCGCATGGTTCTCTGCTGTGATAAATGACTTGGTCACAATACACTTGTACAGCAGGAAATATGGCAAGCTGATGGTTGCGGGTACCCAGAGTCGATGAATGCTCGAAAGCCGAGGCCACGCAGCCGGGACAAAGATGCCTTCTCCAATGACCAGCAAGGAGACAAAGAAGATCTAGTATGCATGGTCAGTATCTATGTGCATAAGTATTAATAAATTCAGAGACCCACCAGGACAAGCGGGTGGTTTTCCTTCAATACATAGCTGCCAGATCGATTCCAGCATCGTAATACCCTTCCGCCGAACAAGCGATTATCGACAATCGCAATTCCATTTGGAAAGTACACCCACAGTACCCTATGCAGCCAGGCGACCGGGGTTTTCCTTGAGCAGTTAGCGCAGAGCTTCAAGAGTTTCTAAGTTGCCAAATTGCTCACCGGAAAGCTGGCAGCCTACCAAATAGCGCGATAAAGGTGAAAGCCGAGACCGCCAGTATCACCAGACCAACGGTTCTGAGGGCCCCCATTCTGAAGCTCAAGTTCTATCGGTAAGTTCAAAGGATATACTGTTCTGTCTGCATCTTCTGGCGGTATCCTTCACTGTTCCTGCCTTCCTTGACTCGTGGTCGGTCCATGCGCTCTCATCGAAAGTCGTCGGTTTTGTGTCAGCCACGTGACCGCGTTCTCAGTCTCGGCGCGAACCGACGGTTTCATCTATGACCCTTGTGAATTGAGACTGCCGGAATTACATATGATCGAATACAAGAACTGACAATTGGCTCAGCGAGACAACGCCTGTCTTGTACCATAGCCCGCTGCTGAATGGGGGAAGAGCCCCTCGCGACACGTCAACACGTGATACCGCGTCGCAGACAAAGCTGGCCTACTTTAGGGCGTGAAAGCTCGAGGAAGAGCTTTTTGCGGCTTGATTTCTGAGAAGCTAAAATGGCAACTTTCACAAATGACTCCTCTCGGGCTGAGACTACGACACTGAATCTGTTTCAAGGCGCACGGTTCTGGCTATCTCTCACTGTTCCACAAAGGTCGAGGTTTAAAGAATTAATTAAGGTACTTCGGGATCAATTTATCTTCTTTAAAGCTTGCAGAGGTTAATGGATTCCTAGCAATATGGTGGTACCGTTGTGCTGATGGAGAAGGATGCCGATGTGAAGCTGGTGGATCACACGAGGAAAGACCTGCCTAAGGACACGTACGGAACACGGAACTTTACTCCCTCAAGATCAGTGTACTAATTCAACATTAGATTCTCATATCAATATGTAGAGCATTCTATCAACAAGGGACGACTCGAAGATCTAGAAGCGCACCGGGTTGGGCCATCTGCACCTCGTCCAATGGGTGCATCCAACATTCCCACGAAGAGCACAAGATCGTTCTATACCCTGAAAGAGGACCAAATCTTGTTTGACTGGGTCGAACACTTTGAACAAGAGCCAGGGGCGCCTATCCAAGGCAATAAAATTTACCAAGATCTAAGTGAACTGGTATGATACTCTCCTGGTTCTGTCAAGGCTACAGGACACACACAACTAAATCTGATACTAACCGATAGGGCATAGTTTCCCGCTCACCCATGGCAATCCTGGCGTAGTAGATACATCAAGCACCTCCGTGGCAAAGGCCGTCCAGGGGGCGGCACCCCATTATCATATGACGAACTTTTACAGTCTGCACCACCCCAAGGAGAACGCCCAAAGATCTTACCTGCCCGAATTTCCCTAAATGACTCCACAGCAAAATCTAGCTCAAGGGTCCCTCGGCTGGCACCACCTGCTCCGGCCCAAGCAAGTACAGCAAACAGCCCAAAACGAAAACGAGATCCGGTCCCTGAACCATCGAATCGAAAGCGGCTGGATGTTTCACCTACGAAAAGAAGAGCAATTGAAGCTTCTGCCACCGTGGGCCTTCCCTCACGCCGTCCCAATCCTGATATCCGAAGACCCCAACCAAAGTCATCAGTCGTGGCGGCCACATCACCCTTTACTACACGGCCAGAAAGAGGCCCACCCGGTATCCCGTTGTCAGATACCGGACCGCTTCAAGGCCTTGGGATTCCAGAACTCTTTCCAGTCCTGAACGCTTCCATACAGAGCCCTAGCCGCGTCACTCGGGAGACCTCACAACGACAACGACCAGCAGATGTAGCAGCCCCGCCAGCCCCACCGCGACCATTGGGGGACAATGCCTTCGCACAGTCTGGCCGATTCAAGAAACAAGCATCGAATCCTAGACCACGAGTCAAAGATATCTTCAAAGACCCAGTGGATCCCATTTTCCTAGAGCTCCCATTCTTGCCATCAAGCCCAGCATCCGAGGCGACTGACGATGACACCTCAGATGCGCCCGACGTTGATACTTGGATTGATCAACGCCTGGCTCTAGGTGCCAAAGAATCCCACGTGTTCGATGCTCTGCGGTGTACAAGCATGGTCCCAGAGATGGCAGATAAGGTTCTCAAATACCTCACCGCTGGCAAGGATATTCCTGATGATATGCCGGGAGTCTGGACAGCAGAGGACGATAGCTGTTTACAAGCGGAGGATTATTCGCGGGTGCGGCGAGTGTTGACGAAGCACGGCGCAGAAGCGTACAAGGATAGATGGGAATATTTCAGCATGGCCCGGCAGACAGGACTCATTGAATAATTGAATAATACACATGAAATGTGGAATTTGAAATCACACGAAGGATGACTACAATGGACGAGTTGAAATTGTGAAGTACATGAACATTAGCGTGGAGCTAGAAACGAAATACTCGCCGAAGACACCGGTATGACCTGCCCAGAACGCAAAGAGGAAATTGGAACTCAAAAGTAAACATCAATGTAAGGGCAGCAGTGCCATATTCAAAACGCGTTGGTCGCAGTAGCCAGGGAGAATTGTAGCGATGGCCACTCGCTATTGCACATCCGAAATTGAAGAAACGGCCTAGAAATATCACATGTGTACCAGTTTATTGGTGATATATCGACTTGTCAATGAGCAGGATAGATTTAGTTATCCTTAAAGACACTATGAGAGACGTTAGGAACGAATTTCGAGCTTTCATTAGGAGATTCTGACTCACAGATGCGATTCGTAGAACTTAAGCATCTAGTTTGATGGTTAGCATCCTTATCGCTGTTTTGGCACGGTGTAGGACATACTTTCAGAGGACACTTTTCATAGCAGGCCTGGACGGACAGTTTCGCCTTGCGTCCGTTGTTGAACTCGAGCCACGCCATGAGACCTGCCTCGCCCTCCCGGACAATTGTGTCCACCGCTTTCACTTCCTTATCCCAGTTCTTCCCCTTTGGAAACCATTGAATGCCATTTTCTTCGGACGAGTGGGAAGCTTGACTGGTTGTCTCCTTGGGTGCTGATTTTCGGCGCTTTCTCTTGGCTTCGCTCGCTGCGAGGCCCGGTACAGGCTTAGCAGGCTTCGAATCACCCATAGATTTGCGCTTGCGACCTGGCTTTCCTGCCACGCGTGGCTCTTCGGGCCTCTTCGGGCGACCACCGATCCTCTCGTAGTATGCTGTGACAATATCGGAGGCCCCATCCCTATAGTGTTGTCAATAAATGCGCGAAACAGATGCCGAAGCCCAACAAGCGCACAGACTTACATAAGACCACTTTCCTCTTCCCATGTTTGGTCTTCTAACTTGTCGTAACCCTTCCATTTCACGAAGAGCTTAAAGGTTCCCTGTAGTTGGTTAGCTTCTCGGCACAATGAGGCTGAGCGTTGTGAACATACATCATCAAGCCAAGCGTGATCAGTAATATCCTCGACGACGTAGCTGCATCCAGTCAGAGACATGTATCGATCAGTCGGCCGCAATGCGCAACTAACAGTCCTTCTTCCTCATCCTCATCCTCCTCCTCTTCGTCTCCTTCGTCCGGGGGGTCATGGAAGTCACGGTCGTCTTTGCCATTTGCTTCGGGTCCACTTCTGTAAGGAATATCGGCGACTTCTTCATCGGATACATCTTCAATGGGAGCTAAGGAACGAATGAGGTCAATCGAGATGCTCAGCATTGCGCGTGCGACAGATCAACATTAGGAGAAAACACTCACGAGGCATGTTTCGGTTGAACGGTGAGATGAGATTAGAGAATTTAGAAAACAGATTGGCGATTAGAGGATTAGAACCTCAACGGCAATGGTAAAGTCAGGCGAAAGACTGTCGCATCCAGAGCAATCGAGACAGTCGAGAAGCAGAAACGCGTTCAAGGCGGACAAGCTACGCTATACCGCTTTTGGCAGTCAGAATTTCATTTGTCAAAAGTGCATTTCGGGAAGCTCCCCCTCAAGGCTCAGCTTGCAAGTTCATTGCTTTGTCTTTTTACTTACTCTTCATTATTTCTCGATCTCCTTGTCGGGTTCCCTCCTTTTAATAATCTCTATATTTTGCCAGGTGGCAGCCCACCGTCAACATGGCAATGCGTAAGGCCGCACCCCCATACCCCTCATTCTTGAAATGTGCTGTGGCTAACTATGTGGATTTTGATCTTCAACAGAGCTTGATATGTCTCAGGGTGATTACTCCTCGAATAAGATGGTGCAACTCCGATTCGGTCGCTGACATCAAGGGACAGCTTCGATCTTGAAGGATGAGCAGGGACGGCCGTTTATTGTCGTTCGGGAGTACGTTCACCGCTACGCTTTATCCTCCGTTTTCAAATACCATTGGGAGCCGAAAGGTTGAGACATGAAACTGACGGGGATTCTTTTTAAAACAGTCAGGGAAAGAAGAAGAGACAACATGGCACTGAGGCTGTTAAGGCACACATTGTTGCCGCCAAGACGGTGGCCAGCATTGTCAAGTCTTCTCTGGTATGACAGTCGGCAAGCAATGAATGGACAGACATCTGACTCTCGTTTCCAGGGTCCTCGTGGTCTTGATAAGATTTTGATCTCCGCCGATGGCGATATCACCGTCACCAATGATGGCGCAACTATTCTCGGACAGGTTCGACCCTGAAGCCCTTCCCCCGGAGAGATCCAATTCTGGTTCGAGAGACTGATGCGATGGTTACGGTTAGATGGAGATCACAAACAACGTCGCGAAGCTGCTGGTCGAACTTTCCCAGTCTCAGGACGAAGAGATCGGTGATGGCACGACCGGTGTGGTGGTGCTGGCAGCGGCCATGCTTGAACAAGCCTCGGATCTCATTGACAAAGGCATCCACCCCATCCGCATAGCCGACGGATACGATCAGGCCTGCGAAATTGCCGTTGCCGAGCTCGACAGAATTAGTGACGAAATTACGTTCAGCCAAGATGATACCACCAACCTCCTCAAAGTGGCCAAGACCAGTCTGGGCAGCAAGATGTACGGATTCTTAGCTGTACATTAGTTCTATTTGATGCTGACGGATTCCATAGTGTCTCCAAGTCCCACGATCAATTCGCCAAGATCGCTGTTGATGCCGTGCTCTCGGTTGCTGACTTTGAGCGCAAGGATGTTGACTTTGAGTTGATCAAGGTTGACGGCAAGGTCGGTGGGTCCCTTGAGGACTCTCTGCTTGTCCGGGGTGTTATTATAGACAAAGACTTCTCTCACCCCCAGATGCCCGACGAAGTTCGGAATGCCAAATTGGCCATCTTGACCTGTCCCTTTGAGCCTCCCAAGCCCAAGACCAAGCACAAGCTTGATATCACATCTGTTGAGGAATTCAAGAAGCTGCAGGACTACGAGAAGGAGAAGTTCACAGAAATGATCCAGCAGCTGAAGGAATCGGGTGCCAACCTAGTCATCTGCCAGTGGGGTTTCGATGATGAGGCCAACCATCTTTTGCTCCAGAATGACTTGCCCGCCGTTCGGTGGGTCGGTGGGCCTGAGATTGAGTTGATCGCTATTGCTACAAACGGTCGTATTGTGCCCCGCTTCGAGGATCTGACCCCTGACAAGCTCGGCACAGCTGGTATTGTCCGCGAGATGAGCTTCGGAACTACGAGGGAGAAGATGCTGGTGATTGAGGAGTGTGCCAACACCCGCGCAGTAACAATTTTCGTTCGTGGAAGTAACAAGATGGTGAGTCAATATCTGCACCATACGTAGGGAGATGTGCCGGTAGCTAACTTCTGCTATAGATCATTGATGAGGCTAAGCGGTCACTACACGATGCTCTATGTGTCGTTCGCAACTTGGTGCGCGACAACCGTGTCGTCTACGGTGGTGGTGCTGCTGAGATTGCTTGTTCTATCGCCGTCGAGGACGCCGCTGTCAAGAGCCCCGGCATTGAGCAATATGCCATGCGTGCCTTCGCTGATGCGCTAGATGCCGTGCCCTTGGCCCTTTCCGAGAACTCTGGTTTGAGTCCCATTGAGACCCTTGCCTCTATCAAGTCGCGTCAGGTCAAGGAGAAGAACACCCGTCTCGGTGTTGACTGCATGATGACTGGCACCAACGGTACGCTTCTAGACAACCATTTCATACTCAGTTATTTTCATCAGCTAATTTGGGCTCTGTAGATATGCGTGAGCACTTCGCTATTGACCCCCTGATTGGCAAGCGCCAGCAACTTCTGCTTGCCACCCAGCTGTGCCGTATGGTTCTTAAGGTACTGCTCCTATTAACTCTTTCTGTCGCGCTCGATACTAACCGTCAATCAGATCAACAATGTCATTATCTCTGGTGATGATCAGTCTGAGTTCTAGATCACTAGATTCTAGTCCTATTCCACGATGGTAAAAGAAAAAAAACTGATGATTCTGGTTTGCTATGTAAAAACATGGTCCCTTACATAGAACCCTTTTAGTTTCAATAAAAACGAAAGGATTGATAATGTCTCTATCTGGTCACTGCTTCTGATCTTGCTCTTGATATGGGCCTTTATACCTACATCTCGTAGAATGCCGCAGCCCAGAACGGCATCTAATCCGAACAATCAACATGAGCGCCATACGCATACACAGGTGAACATAGCCATACACCTATTGGTACAACATACTCATCTCGCCCATGAATCCCAAATACCGGTCTCGTCCCTTGTGCCTCGGGTTCACAACATGTGAACTGGAAGTCCTTGCCGAAACCACAGCAATCGCGAAATACATACCAGTCCGGTATGTAAAAGCAACCTAAGCCATCCAAGCCAGGAGACAGGCTTGTTCCGTAGGAGATCCGTGCTTCCATTCGGGATCGTGTGGGATTGTCTGTGTTCACGAGGGTCACCCGATATGCCGAGGAACAACAACGTACCCATAAGAAGATAGACGCACTCCCACCGCAAGATCAACTGACTTATTGGCTTTTCGGAGCCTGGCTTCCATTCAACCTCGGTGCACATTTGTGGGGTTGCCCATTTTTTCCGTCATGTTTCTTTCGCAATAAGGTCTTCTAGACTAATGGACGAACGGACCTAAGTAGCTAATGACATGTCCCATTATGGGGATATACATCGTGTGGTTGCCCGGATACGAGAGTGAAATTCTAATATTTGAAATCGGCATCAGGCAGTCGACGTATACTTTCTTTTAGACAGCACCTGAAGCCTTGCGTGCCAAGTTTAGGTCATGATGGGCAATGCGTTAGCTCCTTGGACTTTGTCATTATGTATTCTCATTCCCACTCACAAGAGTCCTCGGGATTTATGCGAGCGTCAGTGCTAAATACGACTTTTTCTCTTTCTTTCCTAAATAAATCCTTGTAGGGCGAA